GACCGCCAGCGCCTTGCTGCCCTGCAAACACACGCACGCGCGCGTGCCCACACACACACGCACACAGCGGCAGAAGCAGCTTCTTTTTTTTGTTCTTTTTTAAATTTTTTTTTGAGGGGGAGGGGGGTGTTGAAAAAATGTTACAGAGAAGAGATGAGGTTTGCACATTTGCGGAGGCGTGCGGGTCACCAACTCGCCATTTCATTTCATGATTAGTTCGGGAGCGTGCGGCTAATAGGAAGAAAGAGGAGAGCTGGATGCCACGCCGGAGCTGCCGTTGGAGCGTTGAAAGCACGGCGCCAAGTGGTTCGCTTCTTTTTACACTTGTTACGGCACACTCAAGGACGTTCAAATTCATGCGAGACAAACGAGACGCGTGAGGCAAGCGACACGAGACGACGGAGACATGCGAGGCTCGACGCATCGGACGTTCGAGACCCACGCGGGGACATTTGAGGGCACGACGCATATGAGAGATGAGAGACATGAGAGAAACGAGACACGGAGATAAGTGCGACGTGACATATGAGACACGACAGACACGAGACATTTGAGACAAAAGACGGGAGAGAGGAGACATGCATGAAATGAGACAAGCCCCAACCGAGACCGTCGACTGGACCCTTTTGGACAAGAGACAGCGGACCACCGCTTGTCAACTGAGACACACGACAGAGGAAGTCGAACCAATGAGCACCAGCGGCGTCCCCGCGGGCGCAAACGCCATTCACCCCCCTTTGCGTCCAATCTGAACAGGCGAGGCGTGTGGATGGCGTGCCCGGGTTAGCATGCGAAGCGTGTCGCCTGTCATGTAAGATATGTACAGACCGCATCGGACGTTCGAGACCCACGCGGGGACATTTGGGGCACGACGCATATGAGAGAAACGAGACATGGAGATAAGTGAGACGTGACATATGAGACACGACAGACACGAGACATTTGAGACAAAAGACGGGAGAGAGGAGACATGCATGAAATGAGACAAGCCCCAACCGAGACCGTCGACTGGACCCTTTTGGACAAGAGACAGCGGACCACCGCTTGTCAACTGAGACACACGACAGAGGAAGTCGAACCAATGAGCACCAGCGGCGTCCCCGCGGGCGCAAACGCCATTCACCCCCCTTTGCGTCCAATCTGAACAAGCGAGGCGTGTGGATGGCGTGCCCGGGTTAGCATGCGAAGCGTGTCGCCTGTCATGTAAGATATGTACAGACATGAGCCGCCGTCTTGGAGAGCCACTCTCCCGGTGGTCCGACGTGAGCCGGGACGTGACTCGGAATGAATAAGCCCTTGACTCCCGTCAAATCGCGACGGCGCCGGCTCTCCTCGGATTGAATCGCTGTTGCCTTTGGAGAGATCTCCGCAAATTGGAAACAACCGCGGCTGACCAGGGCTCACGATCGACATTTGAATGGTCCCCAAGCGACCAGTCGTGAGAATGGGACCGCGGGCTGAGCGGTACTTGAGGTCCCAGGCCGAGGTGCGCCGGGGACAGGTTGACATGACGCTGAAGGCGGGAGGCCGGCAACCGTCCCCTCGTCACTCGCGCACATCTGCGGAATGTGGATGCTGCCATCCCGACGAGATTTTGTGTGTGTATTCTCGCCATCTGTCTCCTCCTGAGTAGCCCCGGCGACCACGTGGCCCCCCGCCGCTCACGTGGATCGGTTCACTTTGCTGTCTACATTAGCGGTCCCCAAGCTTTTTTGCTCCATGGACCGGTTTCATGTCAGACAATATTTTCAGGGACAGGCCTTTAAGGGGTGATGGATAACTTCCTTTCATAACTTTGCTGCTGTGAATTGGGAATTTCTCCATTGCGAGACTAATAAAGGTTTTCTTATCTTATCTTATAAATACAACAACATAATCTGATATGACCCGCATGAAAACGGTGGTATTTTCGAAACATAATAATCAACACGAATCATCACGCGAGGGACGTCCTATCTGGCCGCAACGCTCTCTGGTCGCTATGGTAATGTTTAAATGTGCCTTCAAAATAAGATACGCCACAACTAAAAAGTGCTTGAAAAATACGACTCACCATCGCCGCATATTATGCAGAGTGGGCTTTGTGCGTGGGAATCTCCCGTTGAGATAAATCCGGATTTTAAGTAGGACTCCTGATACTGTCTATTAAATGTAGCCTTCTTTTTCTTGAACGTCGTAGGCTCCTCTTCCGTTTCCTGGCGAGGCTTTTTCCCCTTCCCAAAGAAACTTTCCAAAGACGTTTGTTTTTTTTTTTTTTACTCATTTTGCTAGCTCCTGGGTTTCATTTTAGCGGTAACCGATCACGTGACCGAGAAGTGCTCCTTGACCCGCGTCAAGAGTAACACACTGTAGACGGATATTACAGAGAATCCGCTCACTTTTCAAAATAAAATATCTTTCAGATTCGGAAATAAATAAAACGGAAGTAATGTAAGTTCTTCATTCTTTTGTGCGGCCCGGCACCAAATGCCCCACGGACCAGTACCAGTTCGCTCGTGCATACCAGATGGCCATCGCAGCCCCTGGAGATCAACGGAGAGCCCATAAGAAAAACATGAGGCATCAGAGACAAGAGACAAAAGGTGACATGTGACACAAGTGACTGATGACACATCCCGTATGTGACGTGACACACAAGAGTCATGAGCAATGCGATGTGACACGTGCGCACGAGAGGCATGACACACGAGACGTTTGGCATGAGACACGAGCTGAGACGCGGGAGACCAGGCGGCACCCGGGGAGACCTGCGCCGAGTGACCCCCGGGAGGTAAGATGAGGTGAAATAGGAAGTGGGCTGATGGCGTCGCAGGTGGGCGGAATCATGACAACTTGCGAGAAGCGCGTGCGCGGGAGATGTGCGGCCGTGCGCTTCAACGTCCTCTTTTGACAAAGCGCGCAGGATTCAGAAGCAGCGGGCAGAGATGATGATGATAATGATGATGAAGATGATGAAGATGACAATGGGTCGACTTATATATTGTTTTAGGTTGAAATTGTAATTTAAGTCGGAACAACTTTCAACGATCAACTTCGGACATCTACGGCAACGTTAGTGAGCACAACAAAACAAGCTAGTTGTTTTCTATGTTCTGTATTTGTAAAGTCCAGTCCATTTCACTGTCATACATCATGTTTTTTTTTTTTTAAGTTTAGTTCAAATCACCAAGATGGTGATTGGAGTGGTTAGTAGGAGGAAGAGGAAGTCACTCGCCTCCACATTATGCCGCTCGCAAGACAACTGAGCGGTTGCTAACTGCATTGTGCTGCATCGTGGTTGCGAGGAGTTTGTTGCCGTGGCGACCGCCTCTAACAGAAATCTGATATCCACGAGATCGACGCTCAGCTCCTTTTGGGCCCAGATATTTGCTGGTCTTCAACAAGTCTTGATGAGACCGCAGGGGGTCCCCTGTTTTCATGGGTCTTTCTACCTTCACTTTTGTCTTCATTCGGACATCTTCCTGTTGGCTCGGAATCAGAGAAAGAGAAAAAAAAACTGACTTGGTCCTTTGAGAATTTTTTTTTTTGCCTTCAAGATGTCTTGAGTTGTTTTTTCTCCTGTGCTTTGCAGACTCCTTCACTCAGTGAAAAGATTTATTGGCTTGAAATCAGTGCCCTTGACTTGATGCTTGAACAGTATTACATTTCTGTGCCTTCAAAAAGTCCTAAGTTGCATTTTTTGCCTTCAGTTCTTTGGTGTACCGTCTTGTGCTCGTTCACGGAACAACTTTCTTTTTTGCCTTCCAAGTCTTGAGTTGCCCTTTTGGTTTATCAAGTGCGTTGCTTTTGCCTTGGGAACATGTTGCATTTCAATTTTTGGTGGGAGGAAAAAAAAAAAAAAGACTTGATGGCAAATTAATGCAACAGTCAACAACGGCTTCGTCAGGTCTCTGCCAATAGAATACTTTCATCACTTACGGAAGTCAGCAAGACCAAAGAACAAGGTGGCAACAAGAAGTTGACCCATTTTGAAGTAAAAACATCCTAAAAGAAACACAAAGGAAGCCTGCGCATATTTTCTAAATGTCATACTTTATTTGGTAAGTCAATGCACAGTCCTTGCAATGGTATGCATTCAAATGGAGTTTGGAGCACAGAGGTGCAAACCAAAACCGGAGCGAGCAATCGTAGTCGTCTTCGCAGCAGCAAAACGTACGCAAAGCAAAGCAGCAAAGAAAGCAAAGATGGCCGCCGCCGCCGGACAAAGTCACGACACACAGTGCTGCTAAACAGACTTTTCGAATGAATACAGACGACACGAGATCACCATGCGTTGAGCCTCGTTACCCGAAAGGATAGAGCAGGCCCCCCCCCCGGACGGGCAGGGTCGCTGTCGTTGAATGTTCGTGCTCATTTACATATTCAAAATACATTCTTAGAGAAGATCCGAGTGGTACTCTCGATATTTCATAGTTTGGCATACATTTACCATCTCAAGTTCGGACGAAGCAGATTCAGTGGTTCACTTCACACGGCTCTCGTTGCCATCAAAAGGGTCAACACAAGAGATGTTGATTGCCGCGCGGCCACGACAGTCTTCTACGCTTGGAATTTTCTCACGATGTGACCCCGATTTGAGTCGTTTTGTTTTCCATCTTGACCGCCGCATGAGTAGCGGAGAGCGCCGTCGGTCAAATGAGTGACATTTGGCAAAATATGGTTGCAATTGTTTTTTCATGCTTTTGGTGCTATGTTGGTTTTCAAGCGAACTGCGAACGGCAGGCATTCCTTGGGGCAATTTTTGCGCTGCTTTCAAAATATACACGTATTTTGAGACGCTCATAGATCAGAGATCATATATTAATAAACAAAAAAATATTTTGAACAAACAAGTACAAGGTTGTCATATTAGAGGTCAAAGTACCTCGAGCTTTTTCCCGCGAGATCAAGTCCGAATTTCCAGATTCAGGAATCACATCCTACTGAGAGAAAGAGCAGAAAGTTTTTTTTTTGTTTGTTTTTTTAAAACAAACAAATAAATAACTAAAGACACGTGGGGAATAAAAATGCTGACTGTCTTTCTTGCCGGCTGGGACGCATGAAATATCACTTGTTGGTGGCGCGCTTGGATCCAGTTTGTCTTTCAGAGAATACATCTTCATAAAAGTGTTTCCGTTCTTTTCAATGAGGCCTTCGCATCACCTGCATGCTAAGGAAAAACAAAAATAAAGGAAACAGCATTTCGATTTTGTTATTAATGGTGCATTCGTGAAAGGGAGGCGGGGGGGGCTGCTTTTCGATAAGTTTTGAGGATGCGTTCGTGTCGGTCGGGCCAGTTGTGACTGGCGCGCTCGCACGTCAACTTTGTTCCGGCAACCCGTCACGCTTTCATCGCGTTCCAGAGTCGTTCGCGTGAACAGTCGGCCACTTGCATGCAAACATCCAAAACAAACCCACCCACCCAAAAAAAAAAACCAAACAAACAAAGAACGTTAGCCTGTTGCGCTGCGGCACAGTAACACGAAGTACACGCGACTGACGAGTGGATCTTCTCGTCCGTCGGGAGTCGTGCACGGTGGTCGTGAATCAACCGCGGGCACATGCACGACCGGTTAGCGCCTGTGCAAGAGAACCTCAAGCAGCCCCAAAGCACAAACGCGGCAGCAAAGAAAAACAAACACAGATGGAGAGATGGCAGACTTGCTCCAGCTTGTCCTTTTCTCGTACAAAAATTGGCACAGTTTTGTGGGACCGGTGCTGCTGCATCCTCGGCGGGGGCCTACGAGCAAAAAACCCTGCGAGGAGACGCAAATGGAGATGTTACACTCTTGTTTACTTTCAGGAAAAGGCTCTGCTCTGACATGTATCCATGGCGACGCGCTTGTTTTGTTCGCGCGACGGCAGCTAAGAAGAAACTCTCCATCGATAAGAGGAGAACGGTTTTACAGTGCATTTTTTTGGGGAGTCGCGGGTTCGAATGTCGTTGCGAGGAGAAAAATGCTGGGCTAGAAAAAGAAAGCAAGAATTTGGTTTTACAAAAACCTATGATTAAAAAAAAAAGTTGCATTTATTTATTTGTCGGTTTTTGTGTCAAAAGAAGTCAAGACATTCGGAGAATAAAAACGCTTTAGGGCGGAAAACTCTGGAGACCGCGTGCGTGCATATGAGTGTGTATGTAAATGCGCTTTGCGAGTGCGCGAGACGTACTCGTCCGAGTCTTTCTTGCTCTCCTCGATGTAGGCGATGGACTCCGAGCGCAGTCGGTTGGTGACCTCGTACGTGCGCAGGGTGACTCCAAAGATGTCCTCGTGGTAGCGGTTCTCGTCCTGCCAACATCGCCGTCAACATTTGAGACTTGTTATGCTTTTCCTTGGCTTGTTTTCAACTGTGGTTGCTCGCCAAGTCAATTTCTATGCTGGAAATACTTTGAAACATCCTCCTCATGATCGGTCCAATGTTGCACAATAGCCATATTCGAGTGGAACAAGCAATCACTTTTTATGATTTTTAAAATTTAATATTTTTTTTTTTTAAGGAATGAACAAATACCGATAGCAGATATCGGTATCGGGCAGATCGCAGCCTTATTTTCAAGTCTCGGGTTGTCATGAAGGCTGCCGGTCGTCGCAAGCGATACGTAAGGCGCCCTCTTGTGGCCGTTCTCAGATCAGGAAGTAAACAACATGCACGGCTGAGATTTGCATCCGTCGCCATCCGCTCACGGGCCCTTTAAGACGCAATGTCTGGAAATCCATTTCTGTTTTTAAGGTTTATTTTCATGCTTCTAGATTTGCTCCCAAACATTCTACGCTTATCGGCCGACTCGATTTGGGTGCCACGCCGACTTTCTGCAGGAGGCATCTCTCTATTCTAAAGCGTCTCAGCAGATGACCGCCTCCTCACCCTCAGCTTGCTGATGAAGAAGCCGGCGTCCTCCAAGCTCATGTTGCCATGCTGCTTGACGATCTGCTGCACAGTTTTCAGGACGTCGCCCGCCATGGTGACGTCTCCGCACACGTATATGTGGCCGCCCTCTTCGCGCAAGCACCGGTACACTCGTTCGGACAGCTGCTCGCGGAGGATGTCCTGCACGTATTTCTGCAGGAAAACAAAGAGCAATAAGGACAACGCGTGACAGCGCCGGGCCACAGACAACACATGCGAAATGGATGAGTAAGAATCGCAAAACAAAATACAGTATGTTACTTTTGGAGATGGTGAGAAGCACTTACTCCTGAATTTAACAAACGAGAGAAACTAGCAGTCCCGGCAGAAGTTACAGAGAAGAGTCTCATCTCAAGGAGGCGCTATTGCTTCCGGTTTGAGAGTGAAGGTATTGGTCTCAAGAAGATGGTCAAGTCCCAAAAGAGTGGGATTGCTCGAATGCGCTTTACTTTGGAGTCAGCCAATCCTCCATGAAGTGTCTCCAGTGGGTCCAAAATGCTGCTGCTCGCCTCTTGACTGGTACGCATAAGAGGGAGCACACAACTCCAACTCTGGTTTTAGTTTGACAGTTTTTGTGCCTTCCGCTGTCTTTGTGATTCATTTCTTGCTTTGTTGTATGAATGATTTTTTGCTCCATGTACCTTTGGTTTTCCGGGTTCTCTGGAGTAGGCGGTGTAGAGTTCCTTGAAGACCTCCTTGTTCCTGGCCTGGACGGTCTCCTCCTTGTAGATGTGGTCCATCTCGGACTGACGACATCCAAACACCAGGATCATGGGCCACGCTTCCACGCCTGAAAACGGAGACGCACAAAAGCAACGGTTGGGGGCGCACTCGTCACATCCTCCCCATCAACTGGAGAGAGGACGTCATTTGACTTTCACATTTATTTGTGCCGATTGCTCGGTGAGACTCCGGAGTTTGGCGATGGTACCATTGCTTTTGATTTGTTTCCTCTGACCTTTGTGTTGAAGGTCAAACATCCTCTGCTGCCAGAAGCTCCTGAAGGGGGCGATGCCCGTCCCGGGCCCCACCAGGATGCAAGGTGCTTGGTGGTCTTTGGGAAGCCTGAATAAGGGCGCGCTAAACAAGCAAACAAAGGAACCAATGTGGAACAAACGCGAGGCTGGCGCCAATTTGTTACGTTCCCTTCGGTTTTACCTTCGAACGAAACAGGGCACCACTTCACCCTTTTCGATCCTGTTGAGCCATGACGAGCAAACGCCGTGGTGGATCGGCCCTTCTCCGTCTGGAAGGGATCATGAACAAGGGTGAACTTTGACCCCATCTGCTATTTTATGCTTTTTTTGCCATTCTTGAAGTTGATACAAAATAAAAAGAATTACACGTGCATTTGATCAAATCACATCATTTTCGCATCCTTTTAGCTTAATGCTAACACAAAAAGCAAAACATCATTGACGGGCTAGCACAGCTAGCATCGATGGCAGATTATAAGATGAAGCAACGAGTATTTGAACACCAAACACACGGAGAGTCAGTTGTGGAAGGCTTTTGGAGGATGGTTTCGTTTAATTTCATTTTGTTTAGAGGCGCAACAATTCGATTAGGAAATGGATCCGGCACCATTTTGATAACACTCCATGAAAGTAGATGGACGATGTTTGAGTTTCATCGAAATAAGACATCTGCGCCCACTTTGCAACATTTTTTGGATGAATGTTACGGACCAAACTAGGAACTGAATCATAATGCGGTTGTTGATGCAGCGTCAATGTGAAATAATGTCCTGTTTCAGAGCAGAGGGATGGAAATTAAAAATATTTGTTTTTTTCATATGATTCATGAAAAAAAAAAATTGACCGATGAATCGATTATTAGAATGATCATTAGTTGCAGCGCTAAGTAAACTATTATTAAAAACAGTTGTTGGTGTTTTTTTTTTTTTTTTTTAATTTTGTGGGGCTGGAAGGGCTTGACGATCTGCTGCACAGTTTTCAGGACGTCGCCCGCCATGGTGACGTCTCCGCACACGTATATGTGGCCGCCCTCTTCGCGCAAGCACCGGTACACTCGTTCGGACAGCTGCTCGCGGAGGATGTCCTGCACGTATTTCTGCAGGAAAACAAAGAGCAATATGGACACCGCGTGACAGCGCCGGGCCACAGACAACACATGCGAAATGGATGAGTAAGAATCGCAAAACAAAATACAGTATGTTACTTTTGGAGATGGTGAGAAGCACTTACTCCTGAATTTAACAAACGAGAGAAACTAGCAGTCCCGGCAGAAGTTACAGAGAAGAGTCTCATCTCAAGGAGGCGCTATTGCTTCCGGTTTGAGAGTGAAGGTATTGGTCTCAAGAAGATGGTCAAGTCCCAAAAGAGTGGGATTGCTCGAATGCGCTTTACTTTGGAGTCAGCCAATCCTCCATGAAGTGTCTCCAGTGGGTCCAAAATGCTGCTGCTCGCCTCTTGACTGGTACGCATAAGAGGGAGCACACAACTCCAACTCTGGTTTTAGTTTGACAGTTTTTGTGCCTTCCGCTGTCTTTGTGATTCATTTCTTGCTTTGTTGTATGAATGATTTTTTGCTCCATGTACCTTTGGTTTTCCGGGTTCTCTGGAGTAGGCGGTGTAGAGTTCCTTGAAGACCTCCTTGTTCCTGGCCTGGACGGTCTCCTCCTTGTAGATGTGGTCCATCTCGGACTGACGACATCCAAACACCAGGATCATGGGCCACGCTTCCACGCCTGAAAACGGAGACGCACAAAAGCAACGGTTGGGGGCGCACTCGTCACATCCTCCCCATCAACTGGAGAGAGGACGTCATTTGACTTTCACATTTATTTGTGCCGATTGGTCGGTGAGACTCCGGAGTTTGGCGATGGTACCATTGCTTTTGATTTGTTTCCTCTGACCTTTGTGTTGAAGGTCAAACATCCTCTGCTGCCAGAAGCTCCTGAAGGGGGCGATGCCCGTCCCGGGCCCCACCAGGATGCAAGGTGCTTGGTGGTCTTTGGGAAGCCTGAATAAGGGCGCGCTAAACAAGCAAACAAAGGAACCAATGTGGAACAAACGCGAGGCTGGCGCCAATTTGTTACGTTCCCTTCGGTTTTACCTTCGAACGAAACAGGGCACCACTTCACCCTTTTCGATCCTGTTGAGCCATGACGAGCAAACGCCGTGGTGGATCGGCCCTTCTCCGTCTGGAAGGGATCATGAACAAGGGTGAACTTTGACCCCATCTGCTATTTTATGCTTTTTTTGCCATTCTTGAAGTTGATACAAAATAAAAAGAATTACACGTGCATTTGATCAAATCACATCATTTTCGCATCCTTTTAGCTTAATGCTAACACAAAAAGCAAAACATCATTGACGGGCTAGCACAGCTAGCATCGATGGCAGATTATAAGATGAAGCAACGAGTATTTGAACACCAAACACACGGAGAGTCAGTTGTGGAAGGCTTTTGGAGGATGGTTTCGTTTAATTTCATTTTGTTTAGAGGCGCAACAATTCGATTAGGAAATGGATCCGGCACCATTTTGATAACACTCCATGAAAGTAGATGGACGATGTTTGAGTTTCATCGAAATAAGACATCTGCGCCCACTTTGCAACATTTTTTGGATGAATGTTACGGACCAAACTAGGAACTGAATCATAATGCGGTTGTTGATGCAGCGTCAATGTGAAATAATGTCCTGTTTCAGAGCAGAGGGATGGAAATTAAAAATATTTGTTTTTTTCATATGATTCATGAAAAAAAAAAATTGACCGATGAATCGATTATTAGAATGATCATTAGTTGCAGCGCTAAGTAAACTATTATTAAAAACAGTTGTTGGTGTTTTTTTTTTTTTTTTTTTAATTTTGTGGGGCTGGAAGGGATGTGCCCCGTAGAGATGAGTGGACTCGGCGAGCAGGCCTGGTGTCTTCGGTCACATTAGCTTTGTTTCGATTTTGCCTCCAGAACAAATGCGGTTTGGCTCTCATTTATGACCAATTATATTTCCTTCACACCCTCAGGCTCTTTTGGAAGGTTTTTTTTTTTTTTTTTTAATTTTGTGGGGCTGGAAGGGATGTGCCCCGTAGAGATGAGTGGACTCGGCGAGCAGGCCTGGTGTCTTCGGTCACATTAGCTTTGTTTCGATTTTGCCTCCAGAACAAATGCGGTTTGGCTCTCATTTATGACCAATTATATTTCCTTCACACCCTCAGGCTCTTTTGGAAGGCACAATGGTGGAATGTTGACACGGCTTAAGCGGTACTTATTGTGATGAGGATTATAATGACTATTATGAGATTTATTATTATTACTGCAGCTTTGAGTGACAGCGAGAGCAATGGAGCTCTTTATTGCTGCACTCATTTTATGTAGTCCTCTGCCGTCTTACGCAAAACAATTGAAAACCATTATTTTTACTTGAGTGCCTTTCGGATTCTGACATACACGACGAGTAAAAAGAACGATGCACGTTGCAGTGGGAATAATCACAAAGTCGCTCAGGAGATTCGGTCACGGGAGTGCAGCACGCGAATGGGGTGAAAGGGCTTTGCAACCTTTGGCCCGGTAGGAGACGACGGCGACGGTGAGGTGGATCTCGCCCGGGTGCAGGTCGGGCGAGGAGCTGATGGAGTAGTAGCGCGGCTGCAGCAGAGGCAGCTGGGTGAGCAGCAACGTGGACGGCATCTGCACCGACGGGAACTCGTCCAGGACCTCCACCAGGGTGGGCGTGTTGAACCACTTCCACTCCTCGTACTCCTGCAGACCCTGAGCAAGACAGAGCAGAGAAAATACAGCACACGCTCGAGCCCTGCAGCACACACACACACACGCACGACTTGATCTTGCCATGACACCCATTCGGGAATATTCCCACCAAAAAGCCAGGCTTTTATTTATTTTATCTTCTTAACCCATAACGTAGGGCGGCACGGTGGGCGACTGATTAGCGTCGGGAATATTCCCACCAAAAAGCCAGGCTTTTATTTATCTTCTTAACCCATAACATAGGGCGGCACGGTGGGTGACTGATTAGCGCGTTAGCCTCACAGTGCCGAGGTGCAGGATTCGATTACAGCTCCGGCCTCCCTGCGTGGAGTTTGCATGTTCTCCCCGCGCCTGTGTGGCTTTTCTCTGGGTATTCCAGTTGCCTCCCACATTCAAAAAACATTCGTGGCAGGTGAATGGAACAGTCGAAATTGTCCTTGGGATCAGTGAAGGATATATACTGCAGTTTCTGGAGAATACCAGACTGTAACGTCATAGTGGATGTTATGAACGACAGTGTCACACACCCAAACGTGGTGGTTTTGACATAACTCCCCACTTGGAATCGGAAGTAGCGATTTGTGTGTTCCACACGTGTGTTTTTGAGCTGCCCGACTTATGGGATAAGCGTGAAAACTCCTCCCTCAAAGTGCGGCTATATGAGTAACACTTCTAGCCATCTGTGCATTGAATTGTTCCACAAATGTTAATGTGGACCAGAGATTTTCAAGCAACCGAGTTGGGTTTTTGCTATGAAGTGAAATTCTGTGCCAAAGAGGATCCATTTGGTAGAGGAGTGACACGATGGAAATGGATCCGATTGGATTTACCAGGCTTAACGGTTTCTCTGCGGGGACCATGTTTGACGAGCGATATTTTGGGGCAGGCTCGGTTCCTCGGATTTAAAGCAATAAGATGCGCAACTGTTGTGTTTTTTTCCGGCTGAATCCAAGCAGGTTTCCTCTCTTAGCCGTGCAAACACGTGGAGAGCGCGGAGTGCGGCGGCGTCTGCCAACTGTTTGTATGTGTCATCGACATTTGGAAGGGGAGTATTTTAGGCAGCCAAAAGTTGGCTGCGACGACAAAACATTCGACACTCTACTCATTACACAAGAGGTGAACAGCCGGCCGAATCGAAAGAGACAGCCGCCCTTCTCAAGTTTCGACAATTGGCGTTCCAATGAGAGAAAAGCTGTAGATTGCCGCATTGGCATTTCTCGCTAGCCACTACACTGTGAGAAAAGATGCAGACTGCTACATTAGCTTTTCTCAGAAGCTGCGACACTGAGAAAAGATGTGCAGGTAGATTGCTACAATAGCTTTTCTTGCTAACTGCTACACTGTAAATAAAGTTGCAGATCACTAGCCGCCACACTGAGAGCAAAGATTTCATGTTATTCATATGTTATCTTTAGGGCTAGCTGCTATACTGTAAGCTAGCGTTTAGCGCTGGCCGCTATAAAGGATGAAGATGTGGATGGCATTTTTTTTTTTTTTTTTTTGGAATTATGCGAAGCAACAAATAAAAAGGGTCAATTTCCCTTTTATAAAGCCTTGACTGCAAGCGCCTTCAACGAGGAGGCAAATCTGTGCCACGCGCACAAAGGATGTGAAAAGACAGCTTCAGTTCACATGTAGTTCATACAAAAATAAAAATGGAATGCCACGCCGGGCTTTTGTTTACTCGACTCGATTGGGATGGCTTCCTTTCCGCGTCTTTATACGTCAACGACGACGGCGCGGATACGTGAGTCACCGCTTGGCCTCAGCCAGATTTGTTTTTTGTTTTTTTCTCCTGCACTGCCAACTGTGGGAGGCGCCGGCGGGACGGGAAAGTGAGCGGATGCTTTCAGTGGGACGCGAGTTCACTGACACTGCGTTTATTTCCATCAGGCTCAAGCGTGGCAGCAATGAAAGTGATGTTTCATGTTGGGCATCTGACTATTTTGTATCACTTTGATGATTATTTGTATGTAATCTCATGCAAAGAAAAAAAAAAGACATCACAGTGGATCGCAAGACCATCGGAAATCACACAAAAATTCAATTAAAAGAAAATGAGAATCAGCAGGTCAACAGTTAATATCCGCATGTACTCAACTGTTGAGTATGAATGTGCAAATAAATTAAATTATACACACAAACAAGACATTTGGTCGAGATCTGCCGATGGTGATGTTTTATTTTATTTTTTGGGGGAGAGACGAGACTGCCTTGCTTGCCCACACATGATGACTTCACCAAGTTAGCTTTGTCCTTGTCGCCAGAACACTGTACGTGCTTTATATTTTGCTAGCAATTGGACTTATGGGCTTAAAGTGGGCCTTTTAAACCAAAGTGGCTGACTTGATTTTTTTAGTGGGGGCAAGTCACACTTGACTGCCTTGCTTGCCCACACACACACAACAACTTTGCCAACTTAGCTTTATCCTTGTTGCCAGTACACGGTACGCGCTTTATATTTTCTAGTAATTGGACTTCTGGCCTCTAAAATGGGCCTTTCAAACCAAAATGGCTGACTTGAGGCATAGCTTCTGAAGACTTTTTTGTGGGTTTATTTATGACAGACATGACTACCAAATTTTATGTTGCTAAATGAAACTGGCTTTGAGGGGCTGAATTATTTTAATCAATTCAGGACGGTGGTACAGAGCCAAAATGTCTGCATCAAAGTAAAATCGACTTGCTGTTTCTTTTGGGAAGGTTTTTTTTTTTTGTGAGTCTACTCATGACAGACATATCTACCAAATTTAATGTTGCTAAGTGAACCGGGCCGATGGGACAGAATTTTCCTATTAACAGCGCACTGCACTGAGCCAGTTTCTGGGAGACACCACAACACATAGATTTAGGGATGAACAGGTTTGTTGATTGTGTGGGAGGGGAAAAAAACCTACCAAGTAATTTCAAGGTGGGAAAAAAAAGAATCCCCTTCAAAAAAAAAACAACCTGATTTCGCCATAGCTTACCCAACTTTAGGAATTTACCTTGCTGAGCACCTCCAGTCTCTTCTTGTGTTTGTTGTTGGTGGCCAGGGCGGCAAACTGCTGCAGAAGGACGGGACTGGGTGGCGTGGTGATGTCAAGGAAGTACTGGAAGGCCTGGAAGATGGTGCAGGGCGGGATGCGGCTGGCATTGGTCCAGTTACTGATGACGCCTGCCCGGGTCAGCAAAGATAGCGGTTTAGGGATGCATGAAGCCTGAGATCAGGAGCTAACGTTGCGCGTCCGTCTGGACCGCACCCTCGGACATTTTAATATTCAGTTGTGTCGTCCTGGAAAAGCACTAGCAAAGGACTTTTTAAGACTTAGTGACTCAACATGCGACTTGATGTTTCATTTGACTGTTTTTGTGCTTTCTACTGTCTTTGTTATTAATTTATTGTGTGTTGTAGGAATTATTTTTGCTCCATGCACAGCACTTTGTCTTGTTTTAAAGCGCTCTAGAAATCCAGTCGAGTTAAGTTTTCAGGCATGGCTTCTTTAGATATTTTTGTGGGTCTACTTGTGATGAACATGTGTCACAAAATTTCCCGTTGATAAGGGATACAGGGCGAGAGGGCTGGATTTGGTCAAATATAGAGGCCATTTGTGGAAAGAAAGACCCATCAAAAACTGTTCCGTGGGTTAAATTGGAGATGAAATTGTGGGTGCATTAATATGCTGCAAGGATGTTTTTACCCTGACGGTCCAATTATTTTTTTTGCACAAGAAAAATGAGAAAGTGCCAAAAGGTCAGGAATATAAATAATAAATACATAATGATAATGAACAACGGCGGGAGAAAGCACCATGTGCGGTATGATTAATTAAGTGCAGAATGTCAGGAAAATCTTGGCGCCAGCGCTCCAAATCATCACGTAGTCATTGTGTACCCGCATACACAATCGACACCCGAATGCAAAACTCGCAAAAAACACACACCCATTACACAAACAAAAACATGCGCACATGCACACGGACAAATACACACACACACACACACGTATATACACCTAGCGCGGTGTTCCTCTCCTCCAGGAACTCGACTTTGACGATCTGATTGACATCGGGCGCGTCCTCCAGTTTGTGGATGAGCGCGGTCACCAGTTCCTCGTGGTTACCGGCAAAGACACCCAAATGGTCGCCGGGGTGGTAGCTCAGCTTGTCGTGCTTGTTGGTGTCCAGCCGTACGAATATGGTGGAGCGACTGCAAAAAGAAAGCAACAATCTACTAATCCAATAATGGCTGGATTAAAAAAAAACAAAAACAAAAACATAATAATATACAGGAAATGTGAAATTAGGATGTTGTACCCCATTGCACCGTTACATGGCAGGCAGCACTGACCTCCACTGGGTGCAAATGTGGCATCATTAAAACGGAGACAATTCACACCCGTGACCGGTGTTGCTATGTTGTTTGTATGTGTTGCTGCTCCACGTGTGTGAAGTAGCAGTTGTTTGAAGGTTTGCGATTACCCTAACAGCCACGCTGACTTTGGTTAGGCCGTCAATGACATTTCGCATCATGTGTTAGCATTAAGCTAGCAGACTTTCATTTGGATATGATTTCAGGCAGCAATGCGTCGCCATTTCCCCATTTATCAAACGAGTCCAATATGTAAACGCAAAAGAACTCCGTCATGATTCAAATGGAGTAAAATTCATGCAAGCCATAGCAAAGCAACACACTCACTTGGATTTGGGACTTTGTAAGTTTTGCGATTCCAGCATTTTGGCTCCGTAAACTGTCTTCTTGTGGATGGTGGACAGTGCTGGGAAAAAAAAGCCATTGCATTACACCAAATGATTGTCATTTAATCAATGGTAAAAAAATAAATAACATTTAAAAAAATGCCTTCAGTTAATGCACTTTCATTTCGAATGGACACAATCATTTAATGAAACACAAACAAGCAGTAAACGAGAATGAAGAGATTGAAAGTAGCGCCATCCCGTGGACAACCAAATCGAGCATAATGCAACATCAACAGCATTTGTCGTTTTCGTAGCAAGGCGACATGTTACTGCTGACAGAAAATGGTGTGAAATGTTGCTGCATGCTTTGAATGGGATAACATTTGTGCGGACTAGTGGACAAATATAAATGCGGCGTGACAACACTTCAAGAGCGACCCATGCTTGGGATTTCAGTCGCGAGGCGGCCAACAGGACGTGTGAGACGTTGCTGCATGCCTGGAATGGCGGAAAGCAGTGGAAGAGATGGAACACGGCCTTTTGGTTTTACCGTCGGTGAGAGCCGGTGCCTCGGCGGCATAAGTCAGGCGGAACTTGCTCTTCTTCCAGCTGCGGTGGTTGCTGATGAGCGAGTCATTTGCTTTCTCGATGTTGACGTCGTCGCCCACGCAGAAAACGTCGCAGGCGGCCTTGAGGCGGGGAAACAAAGGCAAAACGGTTCAAAAGCAGGTGGAGCACAGTGGCGCACAGCTCTGCCCACAATGGACGGCTTTTACTTTTCAGGGGCCTCGTTTGTCATGGCCAAGCCTCAAAATAATCAGCAAACGTTGCTGGACTCGTAACAATTTTGGTGTGCTTCTCATAGGAGCACCAGAGGTTGTTGTTTAGTACGCATACCCCCCTCGCCCCACCAACCCACCGACCTCAAAGAAGCAACTGGTCTTGGATGCTGCCAATTTAAAGATAATGTATTTAGGGGCAGCGCCAACGCCAAGTCTGATCCTCAATAATCTTCCTTCCTGCACAGGGGAGGGAAGAGAGGAATTTTCCCTGATTATGAGGAGTCCTGAGAATGGCTCCGAATGTCCAATCCAGTCAGACCTACCGGAATAAAAATTGTGCTCTTCATTGTCAAAAATGTTGATCTCTCCAAACTACAGCCAATTCAGAGAAATGGCTGCCCATTTAAATAATTATGGCACGCGGAAACATTTGATAGTTTGTTGGCCAGTGTTATTGAATGCAATTTGTCCCCAAACTGTCGGCTTCACACCAAAATGTGTACTTTCCAGGTGCAGCCGTTTTCCAGCCGAATGCTCAACAATTCTTCTCATCACGCTATCAAGGTAATTTTCGTTAAAGCAACTTTGCGTATTGCGAAAAGCGCCCCATTAGCTACATCTGTCACTCATGCCAGTTGGTTTCAGGCCCCGAAGACTTTGCCATACGTCGCGTTATGACAGGCACGGCCACTCTGCGTTGATCGGTCAAACTGCTGGGGGGGGGCAACGGTTTCTAACATCAAAGCGCCTTTGGGGTCGGTGGGGTTGGGGATGCGTTGCGGTGTGAAAGCCACCTTGAAAACCTTCTTGGCCCAAGTTCTGAAAGACTCCTCCTGACCGCACAGCTCGTCGCCCTCCCCCATGCGGAGGATGCGCTCCCCCCCGAGCTCCTCGAACAGCGTGTCCACGGCGTGGGCAAATGCGCAGAAGTGTGGGTAGGCCCTGGATCCCAGGCCGAACACTGAGAACCTGCGAGAGAAACACATGCGTGCGTGCGCGCGCGCGCACACACACACACACACGCACACGCACACGCACACACACACGCACACACAACACACACACACACACACACAGTGGGGTAGCGTTAGGCCAATGTAAAAGGCCATCCCTCCCCAAAGCAGAACAGGCCTGAAAATCCTGCCGACACGTTTGCAATACTTGAGCGGTTTGCGTTCTTTCTTGGCAGGCGCGGCGTGCGGGTCTTTGCTGTGGTTTTCGTCATGCGGCTTTTCCACCGCCATAACCGTCGGGGCCCCGGCGGCGAGCCGTCCCGGGCCGTCGGGCGCGGCACGGAAGCTGCGTTTCACAAGTAGACGTTGCGGTCGGATGCAGGCTCTCGCTCACTCGCCACAATCGCGGCCCAATGATTGGTCGCTGAGCACCTTGACCGGCCACCCGCAAATCAAGCACCCGATGAATCAAAGATGAATTTGCCTTCACCAAAGACGTTATTCTGTTCGCCATCCGTCCAGCCGTCGTCCTTTCCTGCTTCCCATCCGTCTTCCCAACATCCATCTGATCTTTGCATCCCATCACCCTTTTTTGTCAATCAAAGCATAATTTCTTCCTTTTCAACCGTCTGTCCATCCATCCATTAGTCTGTTGAACCATCCATCCACCATCCATCTATGCACCCATCCCCTCAAATCAGCCGGTTAAGGACGTTAAAATCGGAAGGAAATTGGTTGGCAGGAGTTGCTCTCGACCTCTTCATCCACCCGTCCATCCTCCTCATCCAACCTTCTCTTTGTCCCTTCATCCACTCATTCAGCCATCCTTCCACTCTTATTTTGAAAGCAGGCTGTACCAAACTTTCCCCCAAATGCTATTTTAAAATTAAAAAAAAAAAAAAAAAAAAAAAGCAATGAAGAAATTATAAAAAGTCAGATTTTTGGGAATTGTGGAGTCTTTCCGGACTCACTGTGTTGGGATTTGGTTAGAGTGGACGTGGAAAATTCCTTTTCAGTGATTGGGGAGTAGCGACTTCCAAATTGATGCCAATTATAAATGCATTCAATATATATTTATAATATATATGGTATCGACCATATATATATATATATATATATATATATATATATATATATATATATATGTATATATATATATATATATAGGCAAATATATGCCCACAAATACATCAGCAAGGTCCACTGCATGTAGGGGGGGGAGTGAGGAAGGAGTTCCTAATGTAAAGCTTGGCAAAGTCTGCAAAAGCTTTAAGAAAGAAAGAAATAAAGCTTGAAAGGAGGAGGAGGAGAAAGAAGATTACGACTGGTGAAGTTTTGGCGTACCTGACGTTGGCCAGCGGACCGGTGCTTTCAAAATCAACTTTGGCTTCGGGCTCGTCGCTGGATGACTTCCTGGTGTCCGAGTAGGACGACACGCTGTTGAAGCGAATTTTGTAGGTCCTAGGAAAACAGACACACACACACACACAATACTTTCACACATACACCACGCTTACACACACACACACACACACACACCCACACACCCCCACACCCCAAAAAAAAAAAAAAAAAGTGAATTAATAAGAATAATACACTTTGCTCCATCGACCTTGTTTGATGTTGTCAACAGATGACCAAAAATAAAGATAAAAATCATGGCGGTGGCGCCGACCCACTTTCGGTCTTCTGTGTTGGACGTCGGGTGTCGCATCTCCATCAAGGCGGCTCCGAATTTCTACGAGCACATACGAGCGAGTCAAAAGATATTCAGCAGTTGGCAGAAATTTGGAAACAAGTTGTGTGTGGGGGGGTGGAGGGTGTGGGGGTATACATCTAACAAAAACAGGTTGTGTGCCAATCATGTCTTTCAGGCCACTGTTATGGCTTCCAATTAAGGTTTTGCGCCGCGGTTAGGCTTTGAAAGATGGGTTGGTCTCTTGAAGTAGGGTTTCAAGCCAGCATGAAAATTTCAAAGTCACGTTTGAATCTGGGTTCACGGTTTCAAATTAGGGTTCCCAAACTTGGTGAGGAACTCAAGCCAGGGTTTCTAACCTGTTTAGGTTTCCAACCAGTGTGAGGTTTTCAAAATAAGGTTTCAAGCCATGGTTAGGAGTTCAAATTGGCATGGTCGATACCACTTTTTTCAGATGGATACCAGTACCATTATTGACTGTCAGTACTCACCGATACCAAGTACCGATACCTCTCGTACTTTTGATATATAGAACTTAGTTGAACACAGGAAGAAAAAAAACGCAAAGACTGAAGCAAATGACGATATGCAGATTTTGTTTGCCTTAAGTATCGATGGCTGGTATCGGCGGACTCCATCAGTTGTAAAATACAGGTGGTATTGGTATCAATATTGGTAGCTGGTATCGGTACTCGCCCATCCCTAGTTTCAAACAACGGGTAGGGTTTTCAAATAAGGATTTTAAGCCAGGGGTGGGTAGGGTGTCAAATTGTGGTTTGGAGGCAGAGTAAGGGTTAACGTTTCAAACAAGCGTGAGTCTTTCAAAGTAGACCAATGATCCAAAATCTAAATTTTTGTCAAAATGCTGATGTAGCAAACTGGGGGGTTGGGGTCACGGTGCATCGGTCAAGAGTGAAAGGTCAATGAGGAAGCTGACCTCCCCGTTCTCAGGCGGGTCGCCGTTACCGAAGGTGCTGGTCACCACCAGGACCAGCGTCTCATGCTCCAGGTCCACCACGTCATAGTCGTCCATGGACATCACCTGCACACGGACAGGGACAGAAAAAAAAACAGGTAACTAATCCCATAAATGCCCTTAACTAGAGTCCACATTTTTTCGCCAATCTTTTGTTCACATCATGGGTTTCAGTCCACACCGCACTGAAACCCGCCGCTTGAGGAGGCAACGAGCACGATCCCAAAGCCGCCTCGAGCGTTTTGCGGACCGCGCCGCGTGCACGCACCCACACATCCGCCTTCCTCTCTGTCTCCTCTTTGTTATTCATCGAGGAAAAGAAACCCGGAGGCAAAGCACACAACGCGCAATTGAGTTTTGGGGAAGGGTGACGCAAGGCGCGGGCAAGAGCATACCTTGGCATCGAAAGCATGTTTGAAGATTTCGCACAGCGTCTTGGCGTAGTCCTGAGACTTGCCCGTCTCGGTGGCAAACAGGATGGTGGCCTTGACCCGCTTGGCCATGGCCGCGCCCATCAGCTTGGCCGAGAACTTCACTGCCCTGGCGACACAAAGGCGAATCCATTTCGACCGGACGTTTTTGGAGCAGTTTTAACAGACCCTTTTCTAAGCAGCCGAAGCATTTTGACAGATCTTTTCTTACCCTAATAATTTTGTGTTCTGCCACAATACAAGCATTGGTCCAAGCAAATTGTCTTAAGCGCTAAGTGTCCCAAAAGAAGGTCACGACTTGCCACATGTTTTGCAAAGATGCCAATTCCATTTCGCAATCGGAATGAGAACAGCGTCGTCGTAGCGCAGAGTGCAACAAAATGGAACAGGCACAACTTGGGGAAAACACGACACCAGACTGAGCTCCTGTAAGGGGAGCATAGTATGGAATCAAAACAAGAAAATCCACAAACAGACATACTTTATAACAGACTATCACATGTGGAGGTGGAGTGGGGGAGTCGAGCTGCAGAGCCATCAGAGCGCCACCACATCCCATTGTGCGGGTGCACCATAATAGAGCAAGGGAGAGGGCTTGGGGAGGGAAGCCAGCCAAGGCGTTGGTATATCGGGTTGGGTAATGAATTTGTGAGATCATATGCGTGTGTACGCATCAGTCTGTGGCCTTTGTCCCAGCGGCATGCCAACAGATGGTCTCGTTGTCATGGAGACGACCCTCCCAAACAGAAGTGCGGGCCACAGGAGAATGAAGAGATAAGGAGGCTCTCGCGCATCTGGCGGCATTAAAATCCAAGAGAAGGAATCGAAAAATTGCATATATCGGCAATATCGTTTTCGGGAACAGGACGACAACATTTCAGTCAGTCTCGAGTCTTTCAATGGAGCAACTGGATTTTTCTCCTGCTCCCTAAGATGTGCTTTTTATATGAAAGCTGACGCAAATGTTTTGGCGTGTCTTCAAGCTTCCACTTTTGCTTCTTCTACAAATGTGACTTAAGCTGTCTTTAGTGTCAGTACCACTGGAGGCAGCCTCATGATGTTGCAATACACGGGGGGAAAAAACAGAGGTTGGAAGCAGGGGGAAATCACACACATGATTTCACAGTAGTGCAAATGATCTTTTGTGATGCTTTCAAGCTGACACAAGATCATTTCTGCAATTTTCTCCTGAGGGTTTTCTGTGTTTTCTTTGTCCGATTCAACTTTGACTTCACACGGAATGTTTTGCATATGAACACGCCAACACTGAAGTCATTCAAAGAAACAGGCATGTGTTCATACGCCCTTTTCTTTTCCACTGCACTTGTTGGCAGTGATCAAAAGACATTTTACTGTCACAAAGCCAAACAATTGGCATCTTGAATTTCAACACAGACATGCTGCAGCCCATTTCGGCAGCACAGTTGCTTGGCGCGAGGGCCAAGCACAATCAAACGCGCACTTTGGGATTTGCAGTTGACAAACGATTCTAAGCGTTTCAATTTGTAACGCTAAAAGATTAATTTTAATTTAATCATTTGTGTGTGGGTGTGTACGTCGTACGGCTGGGATAAGCTCCAGCACGCCCTGCGACCCTTGCGAGGATAAAGCGGATCAGAAAATGGATGGATGGATGGATGGTTGGATGATGAGGGCAACATGGTGGGCGAATGGTTAGCACGTCCGCCTCACAGTGCGGAGCTGCAAGGTGCGATTCCGGCTTCCCAATGATCCCCATGTAATGTTAGAAATACGATGTCGAAAAAAAAAGCAAAAAGGCGGCCGACTCAGCCACTGAAAGACGGCGTACGTACGCGAGGTTCGTGCGTCAACGCTAATCAGCCATCTTGCCAACTTCTCCAGGCGATTTTCTGGAAGCACTTGCATGCACAAGCGCGCCCCCAAAACAAAAGTGAGATTAGCATGCCCTTCCTCCCTTCCTTCGCACCCCCCGCAGGGACTGACTGAATACACCTCGCGGTGGAGTACACAAACGTGATTGTTCTGGCACAACGCGATGGCGTCCGACGTGCGGCGTTAATCTCATTTCCTGCCGAATGGCACGTTGAGGCAAAAGTTTAACAAGAAAACCAGAACGTGCCATTTCTGGCAGATTCTGAAGAGCCGAAATCTGATGGAATTGTTGAAAATCAATCATTATCATTACACCTAGCCACTATTCTATTATAGATAATATTCACTCACAGAATTGTGAATATCTTTAAGTAGAATTAGGACTTTTATATGTGTATGTACTGTATGTAATGACAACGGCCCATGCACGTGAATGGCAAAAGTGATGTCATCGGTCCTTGGCAAAATGATCTCGCCGATCTCTGAAGTGCCGCTCGTGTCGATTGCGAGAATGTCGTTACGGATATCTGAAATGTTCAAGTTTTGGTTGCCATCCTGTTTTCGTATGACTGCTCTCTACAATCTAGTAGCGGATAGCCACTAGGTGAACAATAGATACTGCATGCGCAACTGCATTGTCAATATTTGGAAGCCACATCAATTTCGCGAGTCATCATTCCAGTTACAGATAACTACAGTCGAGTCTAACTTCAGTAATGCCGTTGGACAAGGTAAATGTTTCAAATTCTTTGTCATTTGGGATTTTGACCGTGAAAATGCACTCCTTTCGGTTCAGCTCTGTGATTGCATTCTGCTCTTTGGAATGGGGGCAGTGACAGACGGACGAACACTCACTTGGCCAGTTTCTTGAAGCCGATGGCTCTCTTCTTGGTGGGCGTCCCGTTGACTCCTTTCCACACGTGACTGTGCCATGGGTCCACCTGAGGGAGACGGACGGGAGAGGCGGCGGCGCACCTTAGAGGAAGGCTTGCACTACAGATTTTTCACAATACCAGAGGAATGCGCTTGGCTTGAGGGCCAAATGAGTTTTAAGCACGGGTTGGAGTTTCAATGAGCATTTAAAAGACTTGGCGTGGGTTTTAAGTCTGAATTAAGGGATCATACAAGGTCACGGGTGTCATCAAGACCCTCCTGGACAAGATTTTAAAAATGTTTCCATTCTTTTCCACAGACTAAGCAGAATCTGGTGTTGCTCATAAATGCTTTTTATTCTTCCTCACTGATGGAACTTTTATGGTAAGTTTGAATACTTGTTCCTTGTAAGTCTATGAATATGTGGTGTAACTCAAGGTTCAATTTTAGGTCCTTTATTGTTCAATTCATATATGCTTTCTCGGGGTTAATTTCCATTGTCACGCTGATGATACATAGTTGTACATCTCTGTCTCCTGATGATAAGAGTCCACTGGATGCTCTTTTGAACTGCATTTTCGACAAAACTTTGTGAAGGGTTTTAAGCACGGGTTGGTGTTTGAAGGGAGCTGTTTTTGAGTTGGTCTTTTGAAAGTGGGGTTGGAAGGGACTCACCTGGTACTCAAAGGAGGGCGTGAGGCGGTAGTTGAGCATCTCCTGGTGGAAGACGGGCGTGATGCTGCCCGACATGGGCGGCACGATCCACACCCAGTCGCCCGGGCAGCCGCCTCGCACGCGGTACTCGTTCTCCATGTGCTTCATGAATGACTCGGTGGCCGAGTGGTGGTCCACGATGGTCACTTTGCACACCTGAGTGGGAACAAACGCCTGAAAAAAAATGCACAGCCGCCTCCGCTCTTGTCTGGCGACTGCTCGCGTGCCTTCAAATCGATTCAAAGTGGGCTACCACGCACACTATCTTTTACATGCAAAGGCCTGCAAAACTACCCGATTTCTTTTCTGTGCAGAGCGAAAATCTGCGAATGACTGATGCCCACGCAAATTTCATTCAGGGGAAAACAAACATTTTGCACACCCAAAACATCCTTGAAAAAAATGGGGATATCCTGCCGACAAAAAGCAGTTTGCACAAAAAAGTTGGGTGTCGCCCCACCAAATACTGTATACTTAAAAATGTTAAGTAATACTGAAAAAAGATGTGCACAGATCAGGGGTGCCCAAATCCACGCCTCCAGAGCCCACATCCAGCCATGATCAGCTCATCAGCAAGCTCTGAGAAGCCCGATAACGATCCTGATCATTTGAATCAAGTGTGTTTCAGCAGAGAGACATCTAAAAGAGGCTGGACAAGGGCTCTTGAGGACTGGACCTGGGCACCCCTAGCATGGGTGAATCCGCAGGGGTCCCACTTGGTGGTTGCTGCATGCCACAAAAAGGGCTGACGGCAACAATGTGCCTGGGTCCTGGATGCAGCTATAACTTTTTTAGATGAGTTAAATTAATAAACAGCTTCAACTGATTTGGGGAGACTTTCCAAAGCATTACGTAGCCAGAAATGGGCGATGTTGAGGCACATTCTTGGAGGACGTCGAGTCAACGCAAGCTTTTACGCCCTATAGAAAAATTTCTGGCTTTTAAACAACAGCCTCGCAGCTGCACCAGCATTGGACACTGAAAAAATGTGAAGAAAAATCTGCTCCGGGGGAACATCAGAGTAGAGCACGCATGCTGGCAATGACCAATCAGATCAAAGCTGTTTTCCAAAGCAAATGAAGGAGTAGAGCAACCCAATCGCGGCAAAGCATATTTAGATGTTGAATTGTTTGGAACATCCATGAGAAAACAGCCCACAAAGGCCAAGACACAAATGTCAAGCTCCCTCAAACAAGTAACGCTGCCTGAAGCATTTGCAAAGTGTGGCAAACGTCCACGATACATTGGTGTCAAGCATCGGGTTTAAAAGCTCCATTGAGCCCCTCATCAATACGTTCTTCCTCGTCCCCACTTTGCCGATGACACGGCAGTCAAGACCCTTCCATCAAGGGTTCAGATTTCTCAGTCCTAACTAGTTTCCATAATTGACAGTGAGAATAAGGAGGAGGCACCTGAAAACTGTAGAGTACGGCGATGTTAATCTCCACCAGAGCTTGGTCTTTCCACAAGGAGGAAGTCTTCCTGGTGTCTAAGGACATCTTTTTAGCGACATCCTGTGGGTGGATACAATCAGAGTGATGACTGCTTTCGTTTTCATCGTTCGGAACAACAACACTAGAATTCCAAAAGCCTACCTCCAGGATGTTGTAGCGGGAGCTGTCGCAGAAGTCCCTGACGCCGATCTCGGTGCCCATGTACCAGCCGCTGAAGGGGCAGCCGGTGAACTCCAGGCCTCCGACCTCCAGCAGCATGTTGGAGACTGCGGGTAGGCCGTACCACTTTAAGTCCAGTTCCTTGAACCACTCGTACCTGGATACAGAAGCAGCATAATGCGTACAGGCAAAACCTGTATTTAACCGAGATCGGAACTAACCAACTCCAGATTTAGTGGTAGAATAGTAGTTGTGTCCTCTGACAGTGTTGTGCGCAAGACCAATCTATCAGAGATGAAGAGTTGCCCGAGCCCAGAACTCACCGACACCAAGACGAGACCAAGATCTTTACGAGGCGAGGACGAGCCAAGACCAAGAGACTTTGTAATGCTGTTCCAGCAAGAGTCACTCCTTACTTGGGCCCTGGTGTAAATGCACGTCTCGCCAACATTTGACTATATATGACCGTCCAAGCCATAACCGATCAGGGTTGGAACCCGCCCCGCCCTCCAGGATGTCACTGGCTCTGACCGCCGAGGGCCTCTTCGAAGGCTCAGAGGAGGGGGATCTTACCAACGTGGACTCATGCAGCACAACGGCCTTTGGCGACCATCACAGTCATGTTTGAAGGCGAAATAAAAACTTTGTTTCCAAACTTTTTATGTGTCTATTTACAATCATTTTTTCCCGCAAGAAAATGGCTTCCATTTAACGCGCGATTGGCTTTAACGGACGACCCCTCACGCCCCATTAGTGTGGTAAAAATCAGTTGCCCGCCTGGCAAACGGGAGGCCGCAGCCAAAACAAGCATTAGTGCAAACAAGCCACTTTTTGGCCTAACTGAAAGCCCTCTTCATACTCCACTGGGAGACGGACGTCCACCAGCCAAACTGCTGTCTCAATTACAATTGGCTGTGGTTGGACAATTTGAGATGACTCAAAAGAATGCAGGCAAAAATGTAGCGACTCACTTGGGGTGCGTGATGGGCACCTCCAGGACCAGGTCTTCGGGTATTTCAAAGAGTTCGGGGTCGTTGCCATTGGCCTGCAGCAGGAGGGGCAACACGTCGAAGCGACCCTTGGGCGCCTTCCAGCCCAGCTGCGTGCAAATCTGACCAGCGGGGATGAAGGGGGGTGAGGGGAAAAAACAAAAACAACACATCAATCCCCGCTTGCCAGCCACCAAGGTTATTATTTTTCACGAAAATAAACAAAGCAACTCAAATTTCATTTAGAAAGTGACTTAGGGAGGAAAAAAAAAACCCTAACTGAAGCTACATGTTGGATTTCGAAAACTCTCTCAAAACTACATTTATAGTGTCAGGTTTTTTTTTCTTTGTCAGTTAATTTCATTATTTGAAATGTCATTAATTCAGTATTACGGTTTGGCCATCCAGAAGAAGGAATGTCAAACAGTCATTTGAAAATTTGGGTGGTAATCTTGCACTCGATGAAACAACCCAACGAATATTGCAGCTGATAGTCGAAAAAGCGCACGCACCTCGGTGAATTCCACGTTTGCGGGGTCTCCCAGGATGCTCCCGTCGGGCTGCTTGTAACCGGCGTAGCGGATGAGCTGACTGTTCCACACGCGGAAGTCGCGTTTGCCGTCTGTCCTTTGTGGGAAGATGGTAATGGCCGACCTGCAACGTCAAAAAAATGGAGACGATTTATACGTGTTGCTGCGCCATGTGTGTTCAAGTAGCAATTGATTTGAGGTTTACAATTGCCATGCGATGCTAATTTCTGTTTTCCTGCCTAGGTGGTTTTGCATTGGAAGCTAGCAGCAAGCTAGCAGATTTTGTGTTTTATTCAGGTTGGTTGAATATCCTTGCAGACGTTAGCCGAGGCGCTTATTCTCATAAGGTTCATGGAGCCGATCCCAACTGCCTTCGGGCAACCGGTCAATTGCAGTTAATTGAATATTTTAGAGTTAACGTACACACTGGTGAATGCGTGGTTGTTTTATTCGTTGGGTTTCTTTTTATCTGTGCTTAATTCCACGAGCTGCTTCTATGGCGTGTTCCATCCAATGTTCGCATTAAGGTAGTGGACTTTTATCAGTTGTTTGAACATTTTAGATTTAAAATATTCCATCATGAATTTTGTTGTTCATCATTTCTTTTCACCTAAGCTAATTCCATAAGTTCGTTTATGCTGTTTCATATTATATGTTAGTGTTAAGATAGCAGACTTATCTGATGTGGTTGAAAAGTGTGATTCATAGTCATACGGTCATTTGACATGAGCCAAGTTGCCTCAGCTCTGCAAGCAATCACGAGAGGTCATTTACAGGCAACCAATCGGCTGCTTGCACAATCTTGCGATACTCTGAGGTTGCTTATGGAGACTGATGAACAAGAAAAACTCCTCCGACATGGAGCAGATGGTGAAAACAAACGGATTCCCTGTAGTTAAGCTCGTGGTTCGTGTGTTGGCGGGTGGAACGGAGATGCGCCGCCGCCGCTTATCAAAGCAAGTCATCCCTTCCCGAAGGTCAGGCCGCGTCAGCTAACGAGCGTGACGCCATCGAGTGGAGATGAAGTGTCACATGTGATTACAAGTCACTGGATGGAGAGCTACTGACGGACAGATGGACGCTGGCTGGATGGATATTTTTCTGCGTTTTTTTTTTCCCCTTTACCTGAGGTTGCCCTTGTTGGTGGCATACTTGATGTGGTTGCAAATGTAGTTGTACATTCCATGAGCTGTTGTGCAGTCCCTTGCGTCGAAGACCTAAGAGAGGGAAGAAAAAAAAAAGTCCCATTTCAACAGTAGTGGGCAAGTAACCAAATACTTGGATACAATATTTCAATGTTTCATGTACAGGGCGGGGTCTGACATTGAAACAGACGGATAGCACCCAATTATTGTAAAAGATGAAATTCATCTTATTTGGATTTATGTGGTTTCCATCTGACAGCAGCAATGTTCTTTATAATTTGCAAAGCGGCGTGAAAGGGAGACAAACTCCAAGGGTGGCCAGCGCCATCCTCTGACTTCAACCCTACTGAGGCAGCCAAAAGCACGCAGGCCACTCAGTTGACGCCACCTGTAGTTTGGACCACTGGATCCTCCCCACGCAACGGGCGGCGTTCCTCCAGGCGTGCTTGGCTCCGTAGATGAGCTCCGTGTCTTTGAGCTGGTACGTCCCCGAGGCCTCGATCTCCTTGGTCACCTCCTCCAGGCGGTCCGCGTGAGCCTTTGAACTGTACCTGTGTGCAAAGCGGAATCAAAACTTGCACACGGATTTCATCAAATGAATCAGCTCCTCCATCCAATCAAAGGGGGGTAAAAAAATTTCCATTCCCGCATGATTTCAAAGTTAAATGATTTTCAATTTTGAAAGATGTCAAGGCAACTGAACCCACACAACTACAAAGCATTTCACCCAATTAGAACCCTTAGAGAAAGCGCCGATAAAAGTGGAAGATACTTGTGGACTGAGAGTGGAGCGGACTTACTCGTTTTTACCATTGGAGGACCTAAAAAGTTAACAAGGCAATCAATGAAAAAAATTCCTTCTCTGAAAACCTTTCACATAGATGCTGTATTCATGTTGCATTCACACTGCTGCCGAATTTGGATTATATCTGGATTCAACTCGATCACTATGGATCTGATTTATGATGAAAATCCACCCAGAGAATGTTGGTATTTGAATTGCGAAAGACAAATCTGCCAACATTTTGGGACACTTGTGCTGTTTTTTTTCCCAGATTGTCCTACATTAGGATTCTTCTGCCCTGGCCCCGCAATCAGGTGCAAAACGGTGAAGGGGAGATAATATGTCTTCTCTTCTGTGATTTTGACATGTGACCACAAGAGATTTCTGCCTCGGGCGACTTGTTTGGAGGCATTCTTAATTGCCTGCGTTGCTTGATGGGCCGTTTTATTTGAGTGACATTGGATTCATGAAAGACGGGAGAGGAAAAAAAAGAAGTCTTTTCTTGAGTGAATACTCATACATACAATGCTGCTTTGTTGGGAATTCTTCACTCCTTCCCTGCTTGCCATACAGAGATTTTTATATCGTGGACCTGGATAGTTGCTTACGAATCCCTGTAAACAGTGAATGGCTCCGAACGACTATATAGAACCATTCACTTATTCCTAACCCCAACTACAGTGAGATTTTTAGCGGGCTTCTTAATGTGTACAGGTCTTGCCTTTTGATGGAGGTATAGTACTGGTCGATGAAGTCTGTGGCCAAGGTGAGGAGCTCCTCTTTGGGCCGCACTTCGTCCGGTTTGCGGGCATGCAGGTTGGGCATCATGATGGAACCCTGGCACACGTTCTCACCACAAGTGGGCATCTGAAACGGACAAATAAAACAAACAAACAAACAAACATGGACAGGTCTATCATAAAAGGACACATAGAAAAGTCTCGAGGACCCGTGCCACATAATTAACAGGTTTGCCATTTTGGTTTGAAACAGACATTTTGGTGTGGACTTTTTGGGTCTGGGAGCTTGATTTTCAAATGAAAAAAATTCCACAGGGTTGCTACCAGGCAAAAGTTTGGATCGGATAAAATGTCCGCTTCAAAGCAAAATTGCAGAACCCCCCCCCGTGTGTTTTCAGGCATGGCTTTTGGAGATTTGTGTTTACTCATCACAGAAATGACCACCAAATTCAAACTGGTTTAAGTGGCTGATTTGAAAAAATTAAAACTAAATAAACAAATGCAATGGAGTGCTACCAAGCCAATTTTTGGAAAAAGGTTGCTTCCAACCAAAATGGCGGGGTTTCTATGAATTTTCTCACCTGACTTCTTGAGACTTTTTTTGTGTGTCTACTCATGATAGATATATGAACCAAATTTCATGTCGCTGAGTGAAACTGGCTTCGTTAAAAAAAAAAGATTATTTGTTCTTCTCAATTCCAATACAAGCTCCTTTTTCAAAATGATGCTGATAAAGTCGGAAACCTCGCAAAGCCTGATGACATTCCACGAGATAACTGACAGGCGGTGAGTCATGGATGCGCCCGCCACAGGACGAAGTGTGGAAAATCCAGACCAAGACGAAGACGAGGAAGCGATGCAAAAAGATTTCTCGCGCAGAGCCCACTTGGATGAGCCTTACGTCAGCTGTCGTTCAGCCTCGATACGCCAGACGATGACAGCCTCCCACGGCCACAGCGACTCCCGGTGTCGGGCCAAACTTGGCTCGTCTCGGGAAGGACACGCTCCCGACGCGGCGGCCAAAATAAACCGGCAGCCACGCCAAACACCACAAGGAAATTGAGCGCGTGGATCAACTAAGCGGATGTGTGAAGCCGTTCCTGCAGCCTGAATGATCTTTCCAGGGCACGCAATATTGTCTTCCCAGACAATAAGAGCACCTATATTACATTGATGCGTGTGCAATATTGCACATGCGTAATAGACAATATCAGTTTTGTTTAGCTTTTTTTGTAAACTGGGTTAAGTGTATGTACAGTATAATAACCGACAGAGGGGGGCGCCATCAAAAGATCTTGCCTCGGGCGCCACATTGACACGGTCCGGCCCTGTCAAGAGCAAACGGCTAAAAATAAGAGGATATACAGTATTAAAAGCGAAAGATTAGAGCGTGGCGAGCGAGGAGAGCGAGAGAGGTGATGGCGGAAAAAACAGATGAGAAAAGGGATGAGCGTGCGTTAAAAATAAAAGCAAATTGGGGGCATCGAGGGCTGACCCCTTTGGAGGCGGAAGACGCTCCCGTATCAAATGCGCGACGCTAATAAAACAGCTCGCTCGCCCGCCACTTGTCGGCTTATGGAGAGCCGGCCGGCCGGTTGGCGTTAACCAATTGCGCGACTGCTCCATGCGGCAACTTCGCGGTTGCCTGGTAACTGCCGGGAACTGTCAATAGTCAGGCTCGTCGCCAGACGCCTCCCCTCTAACTCCCCCTTTGGAGGCCACCGCTGAAATGCAGTTTGTCTGTTCAGTACTTTGTTTTTTTCTCATTAAGTTTGCTTTATGAGTTTCAACAGGACTCAAAGCAGATTTTCATTCCAAAGCCATTGCGACGCCACGCAGATGTTTTGCAGCGCCTGTCTCTTTCAGTCATCGGCCAAGCGCGTCGCTTGTTGGCCCTCGCCGAGCGGCCTGGACCGGAGCCCCCATCAAAGCCCCGCTCAGCCATAAATGACCCCCACCTCCTGACTGTGACTCCGCTTGAAATCTCCTCGCCGCATTCACGCAGAACCACGTTGCCTTTTGTTTTCAAAATACATCATTAAAAAAAATGAATTGTAATCAGGTAAGGCAATTGATAATAGATTCTTATTTGCATTTTCCACCTGGTTGCTGACAGCAGAGGAATAGAGGATGCACAGAGGGCAAGACATGACTCAAGTGGTTCTAAGTATGCTTCGTTCAACTTAGCAATTAGCATGTTGTTGTTATTTTTGAGAGAAAGAACTATATAGTTTATGTGAATCATGACATGTAAATATTTGGATGTGCAATGTACACGGATGTCAAATCAATGAGCTTTCCTTCTTGGATGAAGCCGACAGCTTTGGCGGTGCATGCCTGACCTTGCTGGCGCTGTGGTGGAGCGTGTCGTTCAAGACGCTTCCGCTCTCCCAGTTCTTGATCTTGAGGAAGCGGGGGCACTTGGAGGGGCTTCCGTTCTGCAGTGTCTTGGTGGGCGACGTCTTGTCCGAGGTGGGGCCCTGAGAGCAGACACCCCGCATTATTTTATGCATAAAACAAACAAACAAACAAAAAAAAAGGTGATAGTTATTTTGTTCTGCATTCCGATTGAGTGTAATTCCACTGTCAGCCACTAGATGGTAACACTTTTTTGACCCTAAATTTGAAAGAGTGAAAACAGTATTTGTAGATCAGCCAAGTTTTTGCTGAAGACAGTTGAATGTCGAAGCCTGTTTGATCCTGCTTTTTATGTCTACAGAAAACAACAGCTGTTGAAGCATTTTCTAATGAAGATTATGGATGACTGATCTTGATGATCATGAAAGTGGAACTTCAATTCAATGGACAAAAAAAACAAACAAAAAAAGGATCCAGTCAACTCAAAAAGCCATTACGGAATTGGACATGGTTGGGTGCAATTCATCACGGTGCCAGTAAGTGGCACTGTGGTGCCATGAACAGACATTTTGGAGACATGGGTCTGGCTTGCGCTGGCTCGTCACAGCCGCTTTGAAAACGACTGGCAGTGAGCAGGTTAATAAAAAATGCTTTCGGTCAAATCTGAAACGTTGCTTGCAGCCATGTTGTGAGTGTAATCAGTTCACATCAGCAAGGACGCCGCATCGATGAAATGGATTCATGGCGGCGCCCTACTTGAGTTGATGAAGTGCATGATGGGAGACGGACTGACTTTTACCACGCTCCCCATCGACTTCCCGTTTTCATTTGAAGGCCCCGTGATAAATACAATCAGCCACTAACGGCGGCTAACCTTTCAGCTCGCTATTGATTGATCATAGGCCCGCTGTTTAAGATCGGCGGAATCAATCACGCGTGCTTAGTCATTCCGCAGTGCCAAGCCAAAACCTCGCCACTTGCTGGTTGGAAAATCATTTGTGGTACACACACACACACACACACACACACACACACACACACACACACACACACACACACACACACACACACACACACACACGTTTTGACTTGTGTTGTATTTCAACATACTTATACTTCATTTTAAGTATTTAAAATGGATCTTTTTAATATTCAAAATTAATTTGAACGTTTCTACCCTGCAAACTAATGCATTATTTTTTTTAATTGTCGAAATAAATTAAGTGACACACAAAACAAAGGACTAACTTGGGGTTAACAAACATTGAGGTATTTATGCAATGCGGTGCCTCACGCACCAACACACACGTTTTGGGAAATGGTTATGCAAAAATAAATAAATAAAATATCCAATTAGGGGGGAAAAAAAAAAATCTATGCAGATGAGGGCGAGTGCGCATGACGGCCCAGGAAAGCAACGCGGAAAAGATTGGGTGGGACGGCCAAAGTGCGCACGACTGACAAGACTGCCAATCGTTGACACTTTTGTGGATGTCAGCGAACCTTCTTCAACTGCTTCATTATGCAGGAGGGCGGGAGAGGGGATGGGGGTGGGGGGGGGCATGCATGGCTAATCCCGCAGTTGAGTGTGAGGGAGGAAAATTTAGGTTGCAAACTTTGCCCACCATGACAAATTAAACGGTATGTGACGCAACCTCCTGCTGCGTGTTCACTCTCCATGCACGCACGCAGAGACGCACATTTTACTTTCCAGTTAATTCGACATTGCACTGAAATGTACCATTTCAACTGACGCATTTGAAAAATTATTTTCAAACATACATACGCATATATTTATAGATACATGCGCGTTCAACTTTTGCATGTTACATCACAGCCATTTTCGGAACGCCCCCCTTTGCCATGACGGACGGCAAAACTATTTGCAACCTTGTTGAAACCCTTCAAAGGCCTGTAAAGTGCACAGCCCTGTATCTATTTCTAAAAGTGATTATTTTCTAAAATGGTCGTATCTAGCCGTGCGGTTGGATGTACTAATAGACAAGGGTGTAAACCAAACTTGGCTTTTCATCATGTACTTGCTGATGAAGATAAAAGACGGCAGCCAACTGAAAGTATTCGAGGATTTGCGGCGATCATTCTTTACAGGGTTAGGAGATCATTCTTCATATATTTTACTCATAATCATAAACTTACTGTATGTTGCTGAGCGCAAACAAAGGACGGACTGTGTGAAATAGAAAAAAAAAAAAAGTCAGTTCGCATCATAAGCAAGTTTTACCTTGGCCGTTACAAGGTATCTTGTCCCCCCAGTGTGGGCGTAGCATTTCGTCCGAGGGACGCAGCCAGCGACAAAAAAACTGGTACGCGTCCAGACTTTTATAAGCGCCGGTGTAAGAGCATACAGCATTGTAAACATCATGATAAAGCTCGTGCGCTGTGAATTGCGGCAAAGTCGGCGATTTGATTGAAACGGTGAATGCAGCAGGAAGCAGTTTAAGGTGGCGGATGTCATGGCTCCATGGGCAAAAATAACAGTCGCTAAGTCGCTCCGTTTTCCGTCCACTTTGATTCGGCAGTCCTGAACTTTTGCCGTCCGTCATGGTGCACTCACGTGACGTAGCTGCGACGCGTCAATACACACCGACACACAGAAATAAAGAAGGCTGGCAGGCGAGCAGTTCAGTGTGTCTGCCCTGATTTTATTTTATGTTTAAAAAGTAAAAAACACAGAATTAAAAGGGTCCTCATTTCTATTTTTTTTTTTTATTTTGAACATTTTTAATTCTAAAAATACTTGCAGAGTAATACTCAAATAACTGCTTTCTTTTAAAAGCATTCTACACAAATACAAATGATTTGATTTCTTATTTTGCTGAACAATTTCAAAGGCCGCTAAGAATGATTTTTTTCCTGCACGGAACATCACAAGTGTGACGTTCCGTCTCCCCCACCGCTGTTTGGCGAGGGGTGCAGCCTCCAAAAAGAATGGGGGGGCGCGTGATGGCAAGCGCCTCGATTTTGCCCCATGGGAGTATTTCGAGGATCAACACAGTATGTGCAGATTAGGACACCATCGGCGTAATCCGGATTTAACGTCGCCACTGTAGCAACGGCTTGTCGCCCGGAAGGATCTGAACAGGGGGGGCGGGTCAAGGAGATGCTGATTTTTTTTTTCCCCCTCCCAGAGGACGCACAAATTTGCTAGCTCACTTGGTAATAGCACAAGTGAGGATTAGAAATAATCTGTGCAAATAGAAGAAGAAAAAAAAAAGTTCCTCTCGCTTTTTGAGTTCTTAGGATGGGGGGGGGGGGACCCACACTACAAATATTGGTTTCTGACCAGTGGCAAAAACAGCTTTTAGTGACAAGAAACAGGCGACTCTGGCGCTAATTTTGTTTTTCTGCTGTGTGACACTTCAAATTGTAAAACAAGAAAAACAAGGCGGAGAACAAATCTCATTTCCGGGAAATACACCAGACAACCGCGGCGTGATTCCCGCTGACTCATCACAAGGCTCCAGTTGAATGTCGCTGGCTTTTTAACATCGAGTTCATCATTCACTCCATGAATTGCGTCAAGCTTCTCTGGCGATCGCAACACTAAGCTTCAAATAACCGAGCTTCACTCAAAAACTTAATGCTGCGTACATTTATCCATACGCTACGAGTTGTCAGGTGGCTAAATTTCTCCAATTGCCAGCGTGTTGGCTGCTCTCTCCCTAATAATTGAAGTGACGAGCCAAGATTCAGTGCCTCATCTTGAACTTCACCTCAAAAGCTGTGCTGATCTCAAAATCAAAGCGATGCAAGGCTTCCCTCTAGTGGGGTGTCATTGGCATGACGGTGCTTTCCAATCAAAGTATGCTGAGAAACGCACAGTATGGAAACGGTCCTTTTTTTTAATGGTCTTTTTTTTTTACCTGCTCGGCCTCGATGTTGTGCAGCACCACCGGCATGTTGTCACGCCTCCTGTTGTTTTCAGATGAAAGCTGCGGTGAAACTGTGCTTGCCACGCTGACGTCCCTGCAACAGAGGACAAAAACGAGGAGGAGGGCTCAGTCGCACAAGCCACCAACACACTTGTTCATTTTCAGGGAGTAAATTACACAAGACATTCCAGCCCCGATCCTATTCTCAGCTAAAAATGACTACTTCAAACTAAGATGTTACGCTTTTTGCACATTTGCAAGCATCACTTTTTTTTTTTTTTTTTTTTTTTTGGTGGATCGACTCCTGACAGACATGTCTACCAAATTTCATGTTGCTCGATCAAACAGGCTTCCGGGGCTGCGTTTCAGACAACCTATTAGGAGGTGGACCCGATCCAATTTCCAGCTGAACCAAAACATCCGGTGTCTTTTTGTGGGCCTCTCTATGATAGACCTGTCGAACAAACGTGTTGTTCTCAAGTCAAACATTTTAGAAAATGTTCCAAGTGCAATTATCAGGTCACATGGTTCCTTGACTTGTTGTGTGTATGCAGACATGGCTTCTTGACATTTTTTTTAACCCATCCTGGTGAAAAATGAAAGCTGAGTGAAACAGACTGACTGACCAAAGTGGACGATTTTGCTGATTCATAATGACAGTATGTATCACGTTTAATAATGGACGCGGTGTCCTCAATTGCCAGCAAGGCTCGTCATCCACTCAAGACGAATACACGTGTGCCCCTCTTTTTTTTTTTAACACTAACTTCGCAATTGTCTTCACAATGTGCAGGTTCAAGAAGAGCCTCAAAAACGTGACCTTTGCATGGAATCATTTGTTTCTTCTACTCCTCATGGTGCAGGCTTTCTGCTTCTTCTACTTCAATTAAAATGCCACGATTGGCAGAAGGTGTTTCAACCAACGCCTCTTTTGAAAACTAAAAATACGATATGAACTTTTAGGCTTGTCCAAAATTTTTAGTCTAGAATAAAACCCATTTCGCCCAAATCTTAAGATTCAATCCGGTGAATTACAAGGAATAAAAAGCTGTAGTTTTATGGGTTACAATTGGCCAAAAAGTGACCATGATATAAAGGCAAAAGCTCTCCTTGCACTCAAATAGTCTATGATTGATACACGAAAAAGAAAACAGTAAAATCAGACCCCCCCCAAAGCAAAGGCAAACGCAGGAGTTAATAAAGGCGGTCAATTTAAACGTGAAACAAAAAAATTGTGTTTTAAGTGACCATAATTTTATGGGTGTGGAAAATCCTGCTTTTAGATAAGGGTAAAAACAAAACAACAAAAAACATAAATATAATATTTATTAAGTTATATTAATATATATTATTAAATATTTAAAGTATTAATAGACATACCTCACAACACAATGCTTGTGTAAAAATTTATGAAGCGGGCCTAAATTACATCATTTCCTATGTTATGGATGCTCCTCCCACTTGGGAAGTGTGCTGGACTTTGGGTCATCCTCAACAAAGCAGCTTTTTACGTGTGAACGCTCCACAAAATTTACACCGGTGTAAGATCTTTCGCAACAAAATACGTCGGTGGAGCACCGATGCAAATGTGTGCCGTGTGAACACCCCGTGTGTGGGCCCCGCAATTGGCTGGCAACCAGTTCAGGGTGTAGCCCGCCAACTGCGCGAAGACGGCTAGCATAGGCGCCATAAACCGATCGGATAATGGACGGATGGATGAATGGATGCTTCTTGCATGTCTTTTCTTCCCGTGAAAGATGAAAGATACATTTTAAAATTGGGTCACTTCTAGCTTGTCCAATTCCCGTCTATCACAAGTATTGTTCTGCTACTCGTGTTTCAAGGACTAAATGCCGATCGGCTCGCGCAAGAGATTTGCACAGAGATAGTCCACGAAATTTACAAAGCAGGAGCAAACCATAAATCAATGATGCTTAGTTTCTATTGAAGCGCTCAAAAGGGGGGAGAAAGGAAAAAAAAAATCTCACCTGATTTAAGAACTAAGATGGCCTCTCCTGAATCACGCACTGTACTTCTTTTCACTTTCTTCCATCCGGGTGGCCATGTCGTCAATATGCTTTGCAACGACATGCAAATAAAGTCCTAAATATGCAAAATCTTCCAACGTCCCGATTGCCGACGTCGGATTGGCGCGTCGAGGCTTTCGGTAAACTCGACAATTTAGTCGAAACCTCATTACGGCAATTTATGTTCAAGCGGCATCATCGCGACAATGAAACAACACGGGAACACACAAGACTCGAGCGCTTACCATTCAAACGGATGAATTTGCAAGCGCAGACGGAGCAACGCGACAACAATTTCTGGCAGCTGCGGCAAGAAGGACCAGAACTTCTTGTCAGCGCTGTCCACGCGCGCATCTTAAGTAGCGCCCTCGAGACGAATGAGGCGCGGCCTACCTGGATGATGACGACAACAAAGTGGACATGCTGGCTTCAAACCTTTAAATGGAGAGCAGGTTGTGGGTAATCTCGGGTGAGGCATGACCTCAATGACCACATCCCAAACTGGTTCTTCTGAGCTGAACAGAAAGTGAACACAGTTTGCTCTTTTCCTGTCTGGCCAACTGACACAAGTGGGGCAAATCACAGCTGTGAGGTGTCAGCCAAGTATGTGACAAAACATCTCGTGGAGAAGTTTGCGGTGGGAGACATTCATCAGCCGATGACGCTTTGCATTCTCTGCAAATGACGTGCTTGGGATGCTCGTCTGGGACAGATAATGGCAAATTGAATTATTAATCGCTCGTCAAACAAACACTTTGAGGTTTCTGGAGCGCCTGGCGTAGCCATCACGTGTAGATCAAAACACGCCACTTCACTCTTTCGTGAGCCACCCGCTTTGAAAAATGTGCGCGAGCCAAGTCATTCGGAATTTTGCCAAAGTGTGTTTGTGATGAGTTCGTTTTCATAGAGCGCGGCCATCAAATTTTATGTCACTTTTTGGCCCCCCCTCCTCTCTGAGCCACCGCAGAGATCGATGAGTTTTTCTGAATTGTGTTGTCACAATGACCTTTTAAAAGAAACCAGTTCCGAGGACAGCTGTGAACGGTTTCAAATGTGTCACCCCCCCACCACGCCCGGCATGTTTTGGGGTTTTCCCCAAAGCCACAACAGAGCAAACTGGACAGGTTAGATGAGGAACAGCGTGCAAAGGTCAAGAATGACCCGTCTGAGGAGTTTCTGTCCTTCACTGAGAACGTCCGTCCGCTCGCCTTGAACTTTTGAGCTCTCCGAGAGAAATCCTGCCCGAGGGGGGGCATTCTAGAAGGGAATTTCTGGTTTCACCGGATGAGATGATTCAATCACTTCAGCGAGAATGCGAGTTAGTTGTTCGAGTTGACTGATCAATGCCCATTCCGATATTGGGGACGGTTGTTAAGATGTTCAAGACTTACCACATCGGTTTTTGAGCGGGACGTGTTAGTTTGCGGAAGCGGAGATTAAAGGAGGTGAGCCATTTAAAAACGCACGGAATGGAATGCCGCATCCGGAGAAGGATGCTAGTTAGCTGAGATTGTGGGCTTCTCATTTTTGAGGTTCAATGAAATCCAAAAGGCGGAAATCATATCAGAGAAAGAATGAATGCCTACCTAAGCTTGGCTCAGTTGGACGAGGTCACAAGAAGCTTCTGCGATATGACTGTCTCCCGTCTCCAAGGTAACGGCCACCCCGGTACCGAGCACGAGGGGTGATGTCACTTGCGAAGCTACGCTACGTTGACTGCGCTTTGAGGAAATGAACGGCATTTTCGCAGCCACAAGAAAATCAATTTGACCATCTGTAAACTTTTGAATGCCCCCACTGTACTTTTTGCACAGTTTCCAGTTCCCAAACAGAAAGTAGAATTTACAAGCGGTGTGCATGTTTGGGGTGTGGGTGTGTCATTTTTCAAGTAAGTCCATCGCACGCCTTTCTGGTGCTGTTCCAGTATGTATGTTGCAACATTCTGTGACTCTGAGATCACTGGCCAATTGTTTCATGTTGCCTTGGTCCCAAGATGAGTCAAAATGTGAATGACGTAATTAAGAGGGCATCAACCAGGCTGATTACAGGCGTCGGCCTTTTTAAAAAAAAATCTGACGGCCGATACAGAAGATCAATTTAAAACGGAGTTAACGTCAGCAAACTTCAATTTTGAATTAATTTCTTGATTGAAATTTTCACTTCACTTTGTAAGAGATGCTGCCGACAATTGGAACTCGCTGCGCCCTCCCCCCCTTGGCGTTTGACCTAAAAAACAAACAAAAACGGAACATTTCGGTGAGATTGAAATTTGGGGAAAAACTTTATTGATCGTTGTAGGGTAATTCATCCCTGATTGTGATTTATTACCTCGGTTGAAAGACTCGACTCAGACTGAAGACAGCAACGGGGAAGTGGGGTGTCCATTTCAACTTTTACAACCACACCTGATTTTGCTTTTCTTTGTTACCGTTTTACCTCCCATGAACCTACTGTTTGTTTTTATTTTTTTTCAATACAGACTTGTGTCTGTATTTGACCGGGCGCTCTCATGACGTCTGAAGCATACAGAGCCGCGAATCGATTCGTATTTATCTTGTGATGAAGAGAAAAGATGTCATAGCGTTGGGAACGAATTGTTTCGGTTTTCAGGCAACTTGTGCTGCGACTGGTTTTAGTGTAACACGGTTTCGTCCGCCGCTGCGCTCCACGAGACCTTTTTGTTGGGTGCCTGCAAGGTGAGCATTGCGAGAACTTGATTTGGGCTTTGCTGAACCGGAGGCGCAGGACCCAATCGCTTTCCCTTTCATTTTCAAGATGATACTTTGTAAGAAGGAAGTGTTCTCAAAAGTGTTGCTGCTGATGACGGATGTGGCTGGGCATTCTTTGGGGCGCGGTTAAAGATTTGGGTCCTTTCAAAACACAAGGTTTTGTTTGTTTTGTTTGTTGGTTTAAAAGGAAGACAGAGAGAGAGGAAAAAAAAAATTCTTTATCTTTTTGAAAATGCTTCGCGTTAGTTGTCTTTACGAACGTAAGATCGCTTCAGTCTCCATTTTCTTAGTAGCCTTTATTTTTCATTTTAATTTGTTACCAAAAATGTTTTGTTCAATATTGGTTATTTCATGAGTTTTTTTAATATATAAAATATATAAATAAGTTAGCGGTCAGCCTCTTGCTCAGTTCAAAATGAACGGCCAAAAAAAATGGAGTGCCTCTATTACCGGAAATATGAGATGAGGGACACACGAAAGTTCCGTCACGCGGTAGCCATCTCAAATGAGTATTGCTGTGCGCCACTTTGCACCTGACCGAGTGACTACGAGAGTAAAATTAGCTCCCATCGTTTTCCTCGAGACAACACAACAAACCTATTTCCAACCTGAGCCGCGAGGCATGCTGGGACGCCGCAGTATTCTCTTCTCCGATGACCGCGGCAGTGGAAAAGGCGGACCCTTGGTCAAGTTTTGAAAATCTCCAGCGAACAGGCCTGCCTGTCGACTCAAAGTGGTTCGTCGTTTAGGAAAGCACCGCCATCAGGGCGTGCCCGGCACTCGCCCATTCGGAGGTGGCCCGGACTTAAACGAGATGTCATTGTAGCAATGAGTCCCATTAGCGCTCTCAGCAAATGTCAGCATGTTTTCCGGATCACTGCGGCGATTCTAATGCGTTTCAAACTGCACGCGGGCGGCCCCATTAAGCGAGCTAGCTAAGCAGGATGTATCTTTATTGGCTTGACCCCCCCACCCCCACCCCTACCCCACGTCTATGAGAAGGCGATCAATCGTCCAAAGGGTAGTTACGGATGAGAAGCCGACACGCATGGACTGATCAAGAATGAGATATTGATCGGGGAGAGACGGCTTGCCTCAATTTGATTGCAATGGGTCACCGGCGCGAGTTCAATGGACGCCATCCGGTTCGTGGGAGATGGAGGCAGTCTGGCCGGGGGATGCGTCGGGCAACTTGGACGGCGCTGGAATAATCATCTGCATTAAGTGGACAAAAGGTGCTTTGGAGGGTTTTTCACGCTGCTTTTCTCGCTGTTCCCCGCACGCAAGGCAGGACGTAAGCTCGCCTATCCTCGGAAATTCTTGCCCCGGTGCCAACCAGGAGGTAGCAGCAGTAGAAGAATAACATTCATTCATCACCAACAATAACAGTAACCAAAAAAAAAAAACTCTCTACTGCCAGGTTATTTTTGTTCTCATGTGTGAAAGGCCCGAAAAAAAGCTCAAGGCCACAATCCAGATCTGCTCATCTCTACGAATGTTGCCATTTTATCTGTTGACATGAAGTACTTTTCCGATCTTTTCGGTTTGTTCTTTGAATGACAAATGACCCCAAAAACACCATTCAAAATTTGAACAAAGAATTCATAAGAGCAAGTCAACAAGCACTTGTCTGAAATCAGTCGCATGAACGTCATCTGTGCTGCACTTGGTTGTGGCTGATAAGCTCACAAATCGCACAAACTCCTCCTCGCAATCAACTTCACTGCATTTTGTTCCATCAGCACAAATCAGCAAAACGACGCGAGGCTTAAAAACCACCAATAAATGATGTCACGACCGTCTCAGTATTCAGCACTCTGAAATCACTCCGCCAAGCTCTCTCTCCAATTGGATGCATCGTCTGATGTCACAGCGACACCATTCCCACAAATGAATATTTTGCAATTCAAGAGCATTTTAAACTAAACCAGTTCTCTAAATGCTCCGTCACTTACCACAATAGCTGTTGATCAGTTTGACAATCGATTAATCAACACACCCGAGTTCCTTGTTTTGTTTTTGATTTAATGTAGTTTCCGTCGCTAACTATAGAAGACAACAATCATTTGTGCTCTGTTTTAAGGTTAGAACATTCAAACCCTTTTAAAGCTGCCAAGAAAGAAATTGTTGTCATCACCTCGGTTTAATGAGCGCCATACATGCTCCCTTGAGTCAACACGCACCCCGGCATCGCGTTGTGTCTCGGCCACGGCCACGCGCCTCACTATTCAAGAAGAACTGCCTGAATGGAATGCGGGCATTTGATGATGCACTTCAACCAAGCAAGCGGTACATTTCCTGGTTCCGATTTAATCTGTGTTTAACCAGTCCTCTTTGTCCTACTGTTTATTTGGTGAAACCAAAACACGCAAAATTATTGCACAACAGTCTGATGCTGCCAAAAGGAAGTGGCCCTTATTTTCTTGTATCTATCTAAGATAGTTGGCAACCTCTTGCATGAAATTATTCAACACTGATAAAAACAACGAAGCCTCCGGCAACACAGTCCGACACTCGAGTCCTCTTAAAAGGTTTGCATCGGTGAGTCGTCTGCTACAGAAAACTGTTGACCATTGGGTGACGTGCAGACAAAAGCTCATGACGCGCCGTACTGCGTTGCTCAATAGAGACACCTGCTGGATTTTGTCATGATTGATAAAGCGAGTGCCAGAAAGTTGAAACAGGGAAATGAAAACACATCTCTTTGCATTTGCCAATATGAGATGAAAATACTTGCTCAGGGCGGAGGCTCTGAAGCCTTTCCTTTTCTTTTAGGCTCCCTTTCACATCGGCTTGAAGGGAAGATTTATGCTTCATAACATCTGTGAATCTTTTGGCAGAGTGTTCTTTTGGCTGCGATGGCCAAATCAGACAACGTTTTAATTTCATTTGTTGACAGCGTGACATGTAGCAGGGTCCGTCTAAAAGTTCATGGGGCTGACAGGTGCATTTTTCCAGCCAAATATTTGCTGCGCAACTCGACGCCTGCCCGCCTTGCATTGAACTTACGCCCCGCTGGCCATAACCGAGAGGTCCAAGCCAGCTCGTCGGGGAATCCAATTTGGCCCACGCAAAAAAAAAAAACAAACAAACAAACAACAAACAAACAAAAACAACAACCAAAAAAACACTATTGCAATTGTTGTTTTTCCACTAAAACTAAATATTCTTGCTAATTTTTTTTCTGTAGAAGGTTGCAATAGCAACCACTTAAACGACATTGCGCAATGAGCTGCTAATCAGGACTTGACGCACTTGTGAAGACTAAAAGATAACCCCCCCCCCCACAAAAAAGCGGGAGGGGGCTCGCAACTTGGCTATCTTTTCGCAGTGAAGAACACACTTCTGTGAAAACGAATGTAGCAACGTTTGAAGGGAGTGAACATTGCAAAACGTCAGTCGACAGCTTCAGTCCAAAACCGGTTGCTTTCATTTCTCGCATGCTTGAAATGTCGCCGTTCACAAGGTAACTTTCTGAAAAGTGACCAAATCCAAACGGTTCACCTCATTGCCATTTTTCAGTCGTCCACATTTTCTCCGTCAATGTTCGCAAATCAACGCGGCCAATTTCAACATTTTGTTCCTTCCACACTTGGTGACCGATGCCCAACCCCAACCGTTTGGCTCTTTCAGGACTCCCGAGTTCAATATTCAGCACCTTCCCAAAGTTCCACCATCTAATTCCCATTTTCAAACATCATTTCGATGCTCAGCGCCTCGGTCCACGTTTCGGCACAAATTCAAAGCATTCCAAAACGGTTCAGCCCAAGTTGAACACATTCCCCAAATGCCGAAACTGTCAAAACAAAATCCCCTCCCCGAAGGTGGAGGGGATTACTTTCACATTGCTCCACAGATGCAAACCATTCCAACGTCAGGGCGTTCAGCTCACTCGGCACATCTGCGGAATAATCCTCACCTTCTCAAAATTCCGACAGTTTCATCAACAAATTCTTAAATCAATGCGGATATTTACTGTATGAATCTCCTCCAGTCACAATTCTCCACACATTCCAACTTCAAAACTGAAAAATCACTGATTTTAGGTCAGGGACTCACTGGACCGTTTTGTGCGAACAGCCCAAGGAGCGGCAAAGCGGGACTTACCAGGCCACTTGAATCCCGGCGTCCCTCCGGGCGGCGTTCCTCTGGCCCTCGCCGTTGATCTCCTTCTTGGTGTTGCGGATGAGGCGCAGGACGGGCTCGATCTCCTTCAGCAGCTCGTTGTTTTCCTCCAGCCCGTTGCAGAAGAGCCCCCCGCCACCGCCCCGCCCCCCCTCCCTCATCAGCAGGGGGTCCTGGGCGGCCAGGAGCGCGATGGAGGGCGACGAGAGGTTCTCGATGGCCCTCAGCTGAGGCGAGCAATTCTCGTAGGATTTGGAGGGCGGGAAGGCCGGCCGGGTGACCCGCACGGTGCGGGGGCGGCCGTCCCCCGACAGGGTGGTCTCCAGGTGGGTGGTGAAGCCCTCGGGCCCGCGCAGGATGAGCACGGCGTGGCTTTCGGGCGACACGTTCTTCAGCGTTTCCAGGGCGCGCTCGTAGCTGAGATCCACCAGGGGCTTGTTGTTGACGGCCAGCACGATGTCGCCCACCTGGACCAGGCCGCACTCCTCGGCCGCCCCGCCCCGGATCAAGTCCGACACGATGACGGGCGGTTTGGAGACCCTCTGCTTGACCAGGAAGCCCAGGCCGCCCACTTTCCTCTTGAAGAGGCGCACCGAGATGATGTTGGGCTGCAGCTGGCACACGCTGGCCTCAGACTCCTGCATGGCTTCCGCGGGCGTGTGTGGGACGCTTGATGTGCGCGCGTGTCCCCCGAGGAGTCTCTGAAAAGCCAAAAAAGAGCAAAGAGAGGCGATTCATTTCAAAGGAGAATTGGCTTTCGCAGGAAGCACCTTTTTTTAATCTTTTTGTGTCTATTAAGCTCCAGTTTGTCAGGGAAAGTGGATCAGGAAAAAATAGGAGGCTGTCATTCAAGCATTAAACTTTAAAGTGGTGCGCCACCTACATGAGATGACAAAGGATACCAAAATAAAATGAACCTCGTCAAAAAAACGCTTGAACTTCCATCAAACCTATTCACAAACTACATTTTCGCCTTCAAATTGACAGTGCATAAAATACACAATCATATTAATTAATTATTTGAATGTTTCTGGTTCGGTCCATCGTGTCATAAAGTGGATGGTAGTGAACTCCAGGAAAAACGCAGCCTGGCCTTTTCCCATCACACTAGGAGGCACGCTGAAAGACTTTGGGGAGTCATGCTGCTCCCTCTTGGGACCTCAACACCGTCAACCGAGTGAGGGAAGCCCAAAAGAGGATGTCCCCCCTCCCCCCCTTTGGCAGGTGAAAAAAGGTACAGGCTGCCCAAATTTGTGTTGGGCCTTGTACGGCCACTTGCTGTTCACAGAAAATGACATCTGAGCGGGCTCAAGTCATGCCCAATCTCGCTCGTCTGTTTTCTGGGTTTGGTCATGTGACGTTGGCAAGCCGGGCCCACCCGACACGGTGGGGCATTTTCGTGTTCAGATTCTGATGAATCGGAGTCATTCGAGCAATATTCCAGAGTGACGACTGACGGAGGTTCCGTCAATCTGTCTGACGACGCCCCTTTCTGCTGACTCTGTGTCCGACGAGGCCTGTGATGCAAGCGCAGCAGAAATAACGGGCCGCCGCGCGCGGAGGCGGAAGCGTGTCTGTGAAGCGGCAGTCAGCGGGGCTTGACGTCACATCCGCTCATTGAAAATTAATCAGAGGGATCATTTTAGGCAAATACAAGACGAGAAACCAAACTAAGAAGCCTAAATACTTGACCATAGTGCGCCCTTTCCCCATCAATAGCTGGAAATCGACCACCAGAGGTACACTTTGAGGTCACCAATAAATTTGCAGAAATATTGATATAGGCGTCAATGAACCCAGCGTTTATGCCCCTCACAATATCCAACTGCCCTGTGTCAACCGTCGAGACCTTCCCGTTGCTGGCAATCACAGTCTCCCAGGACATGAAGTGGGAAGTCAACACCAACTCCATCCTGAAAAAGGCCCAGCCGAGGATGTACTTCTTGAGGCTGCTGAGGAAGCGTGGCCTGCCACAGGAGGTGCTAAGACGGTCATCGAATCAATCCTGTGTTCTTCCATCATGGTTTGGCTTGGGGCCGCCACAAAAAAGGGACAAAATTTGACTGCAACGGACGGTTATTCATTCATTCATTTTCCGAACCGCTTTCTCCTCACTAGGGTCGCGGGAGGTGCTGGAGCCTATCCCAGCTGTCTTCGGGCAGTAGGCGGGGGACACCCTGAACCGGTTGTCAGCCAATCGCAGGGCACACAGCAACCATTCGCGCTCACACTCACACCTTGGGACAATTTGGAGCGTTCGATCAGCCTGCCATGCATGTTTTTGGAATGAGGGAGGAAACCGGAGGACCCGGACAAAACCCACGCAAGCACGGGGAGAACATGCAAACTCCACACAGGAAGGCCGCAGCTGGAATTGAACCTGGTACCTCTGCACTGTGAAGTCGACGTGCTAACCACTCGACTACCGGGCCACCCGGACAGTTAGGACTGCGGAAAAAAATCATTGGCAGTGCCCTACCCACTCTTGAGGACTTGCGCACCGCAAGAAGCAAGACAAGGGCCCGGAAAATCCTAGTGAACCCCTCGCACCCTGCCCACCACCTTTTCCAGCTACTCCCCTCAGGCAAGCGCGACCAGTTCATGCGCACCAAATCCAGCAGACACTTAAACACCTTCTTCCCTCGAGCCATGAACTCCCGAAACAGTAACCCAAATCTACCTGTATCGTGGCTCGTTGCAATTTTACACACCCCCTGTGGAACAGCATTCCCGCAATAATCGTTGCAGCTCCAGCTCTGTACTTACTGGAACCATTGTCACTGATCTCTGTTCCACAGCACCAGACACTTGAAAGCTCTCAAGGACTTCTGTACAATCGCACACGTAAACTTGCTCTACAAATACTGCTACCGGTCACTTTAAAATGGTAAAACGATTATCTGCACAACTATCATAGTATCGGATTCTACCGCTGATCACTTTTAGCTCCGCTTGATACTTTGCACATTGTCTCACAGCTGTTATCATTGGGTGGTACTACCGTACATCAGTACCCTCCCATCACGGAATGTCTTGCCATACTTATTTGTCATGTCCTTGTTTACCGTCGTTGCTTGTTATTGATGATACTAGGGTAGCCTGCACTACCGGAGACAAATTCCTTGTGTGATCTACATACTTGGCCAATAAAGAGGATTCTGATTCTGCTTCTGCTTCCCTCTGAGACTGTGTGGTGTGTCCACGAAGACGGAGTTGCCCCGAGGCGTGGGAATAAGTTAAGGCGCCGGCCCTTTAATCCCACGCCGGCCCGAGCGGGCTCCCCGCCGAGGTACGAAATGGCCGAAAGATGATGCAAAGCCAGCACAGCTGGCGGTGGCGCAGCCTGGCTTTCGGGCGCATCCCGTGGCTTTGACTCACGCTCGCTTCCTTGGTAACGAGCAGATGACGGTGTCAAAAGTGGCAACGCGGCTTCACACGCACTCGGATGGAACGCACACAACGGCACATACGGGCGTGTAGTCGAGCAGAAGCCACGTTGGCCCATCGTACGTGTTGTGCACACAGGGTGCGTAGCCTTGAGGAGAGACACGCGCGCACAAACGCCTGTAAAAATAGATTTGCATATTTGTGTGCAAAATAGCGGCTCGGTCGACCGCTTGTCACAACAACAACAACACGAAATGGCCATTTAGCTTGTTTCAGAAAAATTTGCTCTCGCTTCTTAAATAGCAGAAGTGAACACGCATGCGCCTTTTTCGTAAACGTGAACGGTGGTCTCGTCTTCGATGTGGTCTTTTGGTCAAGGCTGATGACGAGTTCATCAACAAAACTGTCAGCTGTTTTTGTAAACTTTAAAAACGTACAAAGGTGGCGATCGTTGGGAATTTCAGGAGAATCTGTAAATATTTGTTTTTGGGAAACCCAAACATGCATTGTTTTTGTTTTCGTCACCATCGGTCATTGTTGCTGTTCGCATTTAATGAAATAAACGATATTGACATCATGTTAACCCAACGCGTGTCTTTGCGTAAAATGAACAGCAGCAGAGTCTTCAACAAACGCCCTGTAAGCATTTTCATGAACATTAACGTAAAGCAATTAACGTAACAATTTAGACGATGAGGCTCGTGTTGTTGTAAACACTGTCAATGATTTAGGGTTTTCTTTCTTTTTTTTTTTTAAATATTGACCGCAATGACGCAGTTACAAAGTGTTTTTCTAAAAAAAGACAGTAGTCTTCTTCGCGCCAAAAATGTGTTTTCGTGAACCCAACATTCTCATTTTCGTAAACATCGGCGACAATTTAACATCTTCATTGACCAAACGCGTTTTTTTTTCCCCCCTTTCTGAATACTGGTCGCAATTTTTGGTCTTCTACTATACCAACACTCATGTTTTCATATGACAATAGTGGCTCTCTAATAAACCAAATGTATGTTTTCATAAACAGTTAAAAACTTGACCCAAAGACTTATCTGGAGTGATCTTAAAAAAAAAAAAAAAAAATCCAATAAATGACAACTGGAAAGACATTTTGGGTTGAATTAACCTGCTGTGCATTTGATTGATGTTCAAGCTGCTTACTTTAGTTTGGGCTTGTAGAATTAAAGCATGCCGCATTTTGCACATCGACCCCCCCGCCCCCCCTCCAAAAAAAAACATGCACAAGTGTGTTGGTGGGGATGATTTTACGGCGCAACAAGTTCTCCATCACTTGAATAACAGCAACCGGCGGAGGTGTGAAGTCCCATTTTCAAGTTGCTTCGGCGCCCTCACCAGCACATTGCGCAATCCCATTTTAGCGCAACCATAGCGTGGAATATCGGGGAGGAACGATACAAAAGATCAGCTCACCCGCTCAGAATCTCAGTCGCAACTCTATGGATGCGCAGCAACTCTCCCACCTAAAGATAAAAAAAAAAAAAGAAAAAAAAAAAAAGAAAAAAACTTGCTGTGAAACTCCTCAGCTGTATGCGCGGTTCATCCCTCACACACACTCCAACAAAAACCAAGAGGAGGGATGGGACGGGGTATGGGGGTGTCAAAAAAGGCAAAAAAAGGGTGGGCGGGGGAAGGTGGAGGTTGATCTCGCGGTGTGCCTCTCTGGAGGCTCGCCTTGTGGCTCGCGCAGCGCTCCGGCGCCTTTTTAAAGCCA